CAATGGACAGGCCTAAGCATATAACTGCTGTCACCTATGATGGTACGTGAATGAAGCGCGGGTTTTCCTCCCTACACGGTGCGTTTACGGCAATTGACTGGCAAGTCGGGAAGGTCCTTGACGTGCATCTAGCTTCCAAGTACTGCCATGGCTTCAGCTTGTGGTAAGCTCGCCAGGCGCATAGTGAAGTCACAGCTGACGAGTATGAGAAGTGGAAGTCGGGCCATATCCCTCTCTGCAACCGCACCTGGCTTTTTTGCAGAACACCAGCTCATGTTGGAGGATAGTATTAGAGTGGCCAAGGCTGAGAAGAAGATGAAGCAGGAGGAAAAACAGCGAAGGAAACAAAGGAGGAGGTGCAGGAAGGGAATTGAGGAGCAGATTGTGGAAGCTGAGGGTGTCACATACGAGGCTGGTGGGTTTTAGTTGGAACAATAGTCTTAGAATCTATGAAAAAGACACCTAAATGTTTGTGCTTTTTGGCCTTTTTCTGCCTGCTTGGACATGATTGCGGCTAGTGTGTTTATTTTAGACCTATCAACCCATACATTTTTGGAATCAGTGACTTGTTGCGCAGGGATTGAACTACAATGGTGATCATAGGACCTTTTACATTGGATTTTGAGCTCCCACAGTGCCTTCTATTTTACGCGTTTTGCGCTCGTCCTGTTTTGTCTCTGCATTTGGGGTAGTAATACCTGTCAGATAGAGCTCATTGTAGTTCATTCCCTGCATAGGCATATGGACTGGGTTTTGCTGCATTTTGGAACTGTCTGTGTTGATACATCTTGCTGCAAAGTTGTCCAAAAAAATTGCTGTTTGTGCGCACCCGTAAAGAATTTGTGTAGCCCATCAATCATTACTTGGATGACCTGTAAATTCTCTCTTTGGTGCCTACGTTGTGGAGCAGTATATAGTGATTGAACATAGAAAATTTGAAGGCAATCTGCCAATCCGTTTTCATGATATGCCTATTTCAATTGTATGCGGTCTGATATGGGCCGCGAATGGTGGTGTCCCACCTTAAGATAATTTTGGGAATTTTAGGGGAATTCTATCGATTTTTGCCACCTTCAAAAGAATTTTAAGGGAATTCTGTCAATTTTGAACAGTGCTATACTATAGCCCCTACACACGCCGCGGGTGCAACCTGAGTACAGCTGTAGCTGTGTAGTGTTAGATCGGTGTAGATCCTGCATGCAGCCAGTGAATAGTGCAAATCAGTGATCACCGTCCATTTTGCGTACTAAAGCGCACGCGCAGGGCACGATTCGTGCTGGTTTGTTGGATGGATTTGGGGAATTCTGGAGAATTTTTTCGATGTTTTCGGAGAATCATGACTTTCGAATTTCCGTGGGAAGTGCCCAAAACAAAAGCATAATATCGAGTGCGTACGACAAGAGACATACAATACTGGTATTTATCAAGTTATGGAAGATTCTACTCGTATCTTGCAGATCCCCAGCAAAGCTAGACTGGTATACTCCAAAGTCAAAGGGCGCGTTTGGTTGGTACGAACTAGAACAGCGCGTTTGGTTGGGACTGCACCTGTTCTGGGTCGGCCAGAACATGTTCTGCTTGCTCCGGCCTGCAGACCGAGCAGTTTCACTTTTTCACAGTGAAACCTGGCGGGAACATCGATTTTGGTCCCAAATGATCACGTGCATACGCTTTTGGGTTGAACTCGTCGTACCGTACACAGTGACCATGGTGACCCATACACATTTTGAAGAAAGCACCAAGTTTGGCATATTTTTCACAAAAATGTGCTCTGTTTCTGGAGTACCGTTTGGTTGACATGAGGCTGCTCCATGTGCACCAGCTGTTCGATCCTGTTCTAGATCGTACCAACCAAACGCACCCAAAGAGCTGCTACCCGCGCCGGCGGCCCGGTCGATCTACGCGGTCTGTTCGATCGACTATACACGACAGTCGACACGTCGTAAGTCGTTGAACAGCACATAACCATGGCATGAGATAACAGTGCTTATCACATATCAGGTGACCGTTTCCTAGGAATGGGCCAATCACTGCCCTTCCTAGGCGGGTGATATAGGCCGATATCACCCCTGCTGCTCCATATCACCCCTGCTGCTCCATATCACACCCGGCTGCGTACCTAGTACAGTACCCATTGGTACTCACATACTCGAATGCGTACTGTAGCTGAAACTGCATATTTAGGATTTCACTGCCGTCGCCAGCCCCCCCCCCCCAGCCCTCCTTCGGCCAGCTGGCTTGGGATTGTGGGAGGGGGTCTATGTGGAGGGGCTAGTGACAACAATGAATTCCTTACATATGCAATTCCATCTATAGTTCGCATCCAAGTTGACCTACCATGAAGAATGACAAGGCCGAGGGTAAGCACAAACAGAAACTTACCATTCTTCTTCTAAAGCTTGTCCTTATCGTGTCCTCGTGAGAAAAATGGCTAGCTTTGATTTGGGCGTTTGTGAAGGTGACTTGGAAGATCAAGAGCTTTTAGAGGCTGCTGCAAATTATTTCAATTTTTTATCACCCAGCGAACTAGCCGAAGTGTCTGATTTTTCTTTATCATCAACCGCAACTGCAACTTTGTCGAATGGCGAAGTACTGGAGAAGACCACCACGGAAAAACGTGTAACATCCGAGCCAAGTATTGTAGAAGAAACGTCTCAACGATTTGTGCAAGTGTCGGAGGATGAGATCGACAGAATCCGAGAAAGCCGTGTTTCAACCAACACGAAGCGAGCCACCAACGTGTCTCGGATGTTTGGTGTACAGTCTATAAGAAAAAATGTGATCTGAAAACCATCTCAGCTACCAACCTTGCCTCAATCCTAAAGCATGCGTATGTGGAAATTAGGCAGATCAACAAGCTTTCGTACTCCAAGAACAGTTTGCTGCAATTCCGCAGTGCTATTCACCGCCAGCTACAAGACCTCAAGCGTAACATTATGGTAATAATAACTTTATTAGGATGACTCAAAGGCAAATCGCCTATCGAGGGGTTCACCGCGTTGAATGGTTGTGGTATGACAAAGCAAAGAGGCAACCATTGTGTGTGTGTGGGGGGGGGGGGGGGGGGAGCTTCGAACTATGCACAGTGAAGGGATAATTGTATGTACATAACCAAGGAAAGGGTATACCGGACTAAGACTGGAAAAACAACCCCGAGCATCTCACCTACCTTGTCTGGTTCGTCATCACATATCACAGTGTCTCAGGGGTTCAGAAATACAAGTGCCTAACAGCTTACTTGCAGCCTAGCGAGCAAGATAAGATTGCTACAGCTCGCCTGCTCAATGCGGAGGTTGATAAAGCTCTGCAGGAGTCAACTCCGGCTGAATTGGAAGCCTTGGAAAGGCCACAAGTACCACCAGCCTCGCCAGCCTCATCGTGTGTCAGTTCGGAGAACAGCGCAAAGTTCATCTTCTCCGGAAACTTCGCAGGCGCTGTTCACATCCACGTTCATGATGTCAAAGCCTGTGAGCAGCGCTAATTCTCAGATACAGTGCAGTATATTGCTTCATTTTCATCATCTTCTCTTCTATCTCTATTTCCTGGGACTCTTTTACATTGATGTCCTTTCACTTCTGCTTAGACTTCAACTAAAACAATTCGAAGCTTTGAATATTTCTGTCCCGCGAATGATGTGTCAGACGGGGGTGAATGGGTGTGGCATCGGAGAGGGTCTCCACACAATGTGATGTCCTATTCAGTTCACAGGGTCAAATCTACTACATGTACAGTAGTGGGTAGTACTACAATTGTAGTATCATGTTTATGTTTATGGACTCGATGTACACATATACATGTAGCATGTGATAAGCAGGATATGACGGTCGTACGTGTTAGGTTCGTAGGGTCATATGTGATAAGTAGAATATCACCCTCGTAGCTCGGGTGATACCGTACCCTCATATCAATCCCTTCTGCTTCGCAGTCGGGATTGATATATTCGCCGGTATCACCCTCGTAGACCCAGGTGCTCGAAGTCCGTACATGGTATCCTAAGTTCGTACGCCCATAATTTCATGTTCTGTTATTGTATTCGACTCAAATATTTTATGGAGGGGACAGTGTGGTATGTTCTCCTCGCGTACCAATTTTCAGGGATCTACGATCAGCAGAAGTCCCATACCACGGGAGTGGGTTTTCGAGTGTCCATACGAAATACAAATTGGGTTACATTTCATGCAAAAATCAACTTTGCCAAGACCGATTTCGAACGGACACAGCGTCAAACAGACCTTCACTCAATCATCAAGAGCCAGCTTAGAGCTGACAATGGCCAGAGGAGAAGAATTTACAGAGAACCACCAATCCTTGCAGAAAGGTTGACACTCCTGGCATCTCCACCACTGTTTTCCCGCGGTTTTCACAGCGCAGCTGCTTCTTCTCTGAGCCGACTAAAAACAGCTTGCATTTCGGCAACAAGCTACGCTTTTGCAAGAAATACCGGTGGAGGCACATGCCAAACATATCCCTTCGGTGCTTTCGTCGTAACCGAGGGATTGCAAGTTAGCAATTAGCAGAAATATGTGTGTATTTCGAGTCACCTCTGATCAGTACGGACTTAGAGTACCCTCTGCGACACCAAAATTTGATATGAAAAATGAGCGAACTCCAGAGAAACAGATCGGATCGAAAGATGGCCTGGTTCAATCGAGCCTGGCCTCAAAACAAACTTGGACAAGATACCTTCCATCCACGAGCAGGATTCTGGCAAGTGATCATTGCTAGTGTGAGTTTCAGCTCGGCAAACACACACTGTAAACGTGTACGGACTTCGAGCACCTGGGTCTACTCATGAGATATTCTTTACATGCATATGCAATGCAAGTGACAGTGACACTGACAGCATGCACAGCTAGTACAGGGTGAGTTTCGAGGTCAAAGTTCAAGGTACATGAAGTGGGCCCCATGGGTCACATACGTACAGTACAGGTCGAGGGTGCACGGCAAGAAGACACGTTTGCTTTGCTGCAAAGACTAGCGCCAGCGTTGCGGATCCTCCAGTTTTTGTGTGAACGGGTTGTCGATGTCTTGTGACATCGCCATCCTTCACAGGGCTCCTTCCCAGCTACTTCACACGTCTTGCCAGCACGCCGCGAGGCGGACGTTCTCACCTCAGGGATGGTTGCAGACGACTACAAGAAGCTGGTCATAACTTGCGTTACTTCCACTTCAGCGAGGGCTTTGTACCTCTACTGTTCTGTGCATCGTCGTAAAGACACCGGTTGAAGGAGCTTTGAGCAATGGGCTGAGGAAGGCTGCTTCTCCACGACTGATTTCCTCTTCACATTAGAGAGCAGGAGTAACTATGCCAGCGAACAGTGAAAGTAAGATATTTGGCTCTCCTCAGGAGCCATTGTTCAACCAGAAAACTTCTGGTTTGTCGGCGGAACTACTGGAAGACGCTCTCCATGTCCTTGCCGAGAATAATGAGAAGAACAAACTGAAGGCTCCTGTAGGACGCGGATTATTCAAGAGTGGTGCTGTGGCAGGTAAGTCCAAGAGACTCAGCCCATTGTCGAGTAATTAGTTGACCGTCTTTGACCGGTGCCGGCGCGCATGAACCTGCAACTAAAAGGCGTGCAGTTGGGAGGTTCTGCTCTACGTTTTGGGAACGCGACGCAAAGAATCACGCAAACTTTCTTCGCGTTCCCGTAACGTAAAGAAATGCTGTTCTGCTCTACGTTTCACCTAGAGAAGTCACGTGGAATGTGTACTGGAAATTTCCCCTTTTTTTAATTCCATATTTGGCAGTTTTCTGCATGCAGTTGATCGATACCCAGCAAATCCGTACGCATTTTCTCTGCGTGCGCCACAACGTAGAGAACCCCATCTCCGCGTAGAAATCTGGAGCCAAAACACGCGAAGCCGTAGACTCTAACCCAGACACCTGCTCTCTACGTGATTTCTCTACGTTTCACGTCTAGCAGAACCTCCCTATTCTAGAAAGAAAAAAACTCTACTCAAACTGGCCAGGGAAATTTGACGCCGGAAGATGAACGAAGTAGCACCGGTGCACTGATGCACCGCGTAGATCTGCGCGCCGCGTAGATCTGCGCGCCGCGTTCGAGTGCACAGAATTAGTGATGGTCTTGCTTTACTTGGGCCGCGGAGCGCCTGGCGCTACTTCCTTCCTGACGGTGAATTCACTGGCCAGTAGATCTACTGTAGCGGACATGGGAATCCAGTCGATTGACCGGGGCTGGCGCCCTCAGTGCGTACAGAACGCTGCGTGCAGTGCACATGTTGATCCGATGCGACCAGCGCGCTGCAGCGCATAAATGCATGTGTGTACCGCATGGCCACGGCTGCATGGCCAGCGCCCTGAGGCCGCTAGACGTGCGACCGGATTTCCATATCCACAACAGTACGTCGTAATAGTTACTCATATGTCGCCATAGGAGACCATGATGACAGGATTTGATAAAATCCTTGCACTATTGCTCGAATCCAAATAATATCCTTGTAGAATATTTGAAAGCTGTATCTCCCAACAGCGAGACTGCGTTTTTGATCTACGGGTTTGGGTGGAAACTACTTCTTTCGGTAGATGTGTTCCTTTTTTTCTACTCAAAAAAGTAGACTCCACCTTCCTCTACCGGCTCTTTTTCTACCAGGTAGAAGCTGGTAGAGGTTGGTTGGTAGAAGTTGGTAGAGTTGTTGGTTGACGGCTTGTAACACGGTGGAGGACACCGTGTTCGGAAACAGTGACCTTTCTACAACCATCCACAGTTGGTAGAGCCCCGGTCGGTTGCGACAATCTAAACCGTATGGGTGTTGGACCCGGTTCTGACCCTTCCTATTCTAGGGGAGTTGTCTTAGACTTCTCGTACAGTCAGTAAACTCCCCTAGAAGAGGGAGGGTCAGAACCGGGTCTAACACCCATACGGTTTAGATGGTCGCAACCAACTGGGGCTACCAACCGTGGCTGGTTGTAGAAAGGTCACTGTTTCCAAACACGGTGTCCTCCACCTTGTTAACCCGACTGCTGCATGGACGATAAGTGCTGCGAATAGTGATCATGCACCCTGGCCTGAGTAGCTCACTTGGCTAATTGAAAGTCAGCCCACCTGGGCCAAGTTACGTTGCTAGTACATGCACAACCCCAGTCACAGAGCACAAGTTGGTTGAGTTTGGCCGTCAGGAGGCCAGCGCAAGGTATCCGGGGTGCGGGTCTGATTCCAGCGAGGGGCAATGTGGCACCCCGGCCCCCGCAGCACAAGGGTAGCGTGATATTACTTCTGCATATGCATTACATACTATGATCATGCTGGCTTCATCCCTTATCTCCTAAGCTACCCCCCCCCCCCCCCCCGGTGCGTCTGCCCAGTGTTGACTCCGAGACCCACGGTCGGACGAGCTGCCCAGGCCTCACCACCACTGCCGTTTCCGTGCTGCCTTCTCGATACATACGTATGTACACTGTATATCATGTGCACATTCACATGTCTGAAGGTTTGTGGTTTTTCAATAAAAACCCTACGCCAACGTGCGCGCTGCATGAGTAGCGTGATACTCGCCGAGCGCTTTTGCTGTTGCCTAGCAACGTGTTTCTGTCTTTCCTGGGCCCCCAAATGCATGTTGGGTGGCCCTGCGCATGACTGCACTTGTCATAGCAACCTTGGAAATCTCAAGCCAGTTACCAACAAGCTAGGAATCAGACCAAGCTGCCGAATGCCCCTCCGGCCACCGGCGCTTCATTGCAATTGAATTAATATTTTTGTCAAGAATGAGCTAGGACAGAGCAAAATACATGTACATGTAGCTTGGAGTACCATCACGCCAAGAGTACATAACCTCCCAGAGTGTGCAATGCCGATCCAGCTCTGCATAGGGTCTTGGTCGAGCGGAATCGGATCTTCTGATGTCATGCGTACACCCCACACCAGCGCAAGGCCGGTCTCGAGGCAGGGCACCATTGTTTTTGATCCGAGAGTACCCGCGACTCCCCGGGTTCCCCTCAGATGTGTACGGTATTATGACGCAAAGATCCGATTCCGCTCGACCAAGAACCTATGCAGAGCTGGATCAGGCGTTGCACACTCTGGGGGGTTATGTACTCTTGATCACGCTGAGTGGCACTCATTGTGAGACATAGGTTAGTGTAGAGCGATAATAAATTCCAGGAGGCTTGGGTGGGAGGAAAAATTGCAAAACAGTTGGATGCACGCAGCAGCACAGCTAGCAAGAGAAAGAAGCCGTGGATGGGTTTGTTCCTGTTTTTGATGGCTGTGGCCATCTGCTGGCCCAACGGTATTCGTGCGAGTGAAACCGAACTTTGAAAAAGGCTTTCGCTCTTTAGTGCTATTACTTTTCATACAATGCCTATTGATGTCTAGAGACATGCTGTCTAGCCTTCCCCTGGTACGCATTCACGGGGCTTTGTTGAAGTTCGTACCGTGAACTGCCAAAGGGAATTGTTTGAATGGTGCTGGGGCGGGTGCGACATTACGGTGTCCCTGCAGCCGGCCTAATCGCGTTTGTCGCCACAACCGATTTTACATGCTGTCAACCAACAACATGTTTGAACAAACAAGGTTTGGTAGAGGTACGGGATTTCCAGCAAGATCAAGACACTTCATAGAGAAGAAAACATTTCATATACATATCGTGAAAAACTACTAAATCCGGTAGGACAACGTTTGTGCACTTTTACCTTCTACCTCTCTCGGTAGAATGACTCTACTCTACACCAACAGGTAGCTAAAAAACGAATGCAGCCTAGATTGTGGGTGCGGGAGCGTAGGCCAGGTATGTTTTCTGCATACAACTTCTATTTTTGAATTTGCAGTTTGGCTTCAATGTGCGAATGCAGCAGAAGCCAGACAACAAAGCGAGCTTTTTTTCTGATTTGTGGCAACTTAAACAACAAAACCTCTCTGCCAAAGGGACAGGACTGGTGATGGGTGCCTATGTCCAAGCATGCCATTAGCGGCTAGGTAGCAAAGTAAATGATCTTTCTGATAAAGGTGTAAGAAAATGACCCTTGGCGCTGTTCTCCAGGCCCTGCTGAAAATGTCTTGTTTGCTGTGTATGCAGAGTATGTTTTCCTGCTATGTGAGCATTTGGAGTTGCCGAACGAAGCCCGCTACTTGGCTGTGGAGTTGTTTGACCGGTGAGTGGGACTTAATGACTACCAAACCTTCTTCTGTATACGGGCAAGATGTGAGCCTTCTGAAACAATGCTTCGTTGTGCCATATCATCTTCTCACGTGGCAGAGAGTAACTTCTAAATGGTAGGAAAGGGATGTGTCTGTGGAATAGACCTGGTCAGTTGGCTGGTAGTTATGGCTCCCCATTCTTCATTGGTATTGGTGCAGACCAGTGATCATACCATCTAGGGAGATGACGTAGGCAAGTGGAATATGAAACAATATGGGTTGTTCCCCCCAGTTGCCTGCTCCAGCCACAGCCTATATAGTCAAATTGCTGCGGTTTCTGTCTTCATTTCTCAATAATGCCCAGCTTCATGGCCAAGCACGTTGCACAGCTGTATGAACATGTGATGAACTCTGACAAGTATCCCCAGAAGGAGGAAGGCTGGGCCACAGTAGAAAGCCGGATTCAGAGACAGTTGACTCTGCGCATGGCATCTTGCATTCAACTGGCGAGTAAAATGTGCTCCCACTATAAGGTATGTGTTTTGCTAGCAGGTGCTGAAGTGTTCATCTTTGATTAGCACTACGCCCTACCTACCCACCAGTACATTGGCCGATAACTATTGTGTTGCTTGTACTTGTGTGATACATGTATGTAACTATTTTTCCTTATGATGTTGATCAAAAGTTTCAAAACAGATGGTTCGGGTCTTCAGGCACAACGCCAGGCTGTTCAAAGGGCGGAGAGGGTTACATTCTGGCACAAAAGACGATGAGTAAGCATGCAAAGTAGCACAGCCACCAAGCATATAGAGCAGACAATAGTCGGGTCACTCGTACCATGCAAGGTAATACTGAACTGAGCAGCAACAGTTACCAAAGTTGACATGTGAATGTGTTGTAAGGAGTTTGACATCGACGCCAGCTCTCAACTTTACTCGCAACACCACATGCTGAGCACTTGATGAGTAATATCAAGAGTCCATAACCCAAGAGTATGCAACTGTGATTATGGGTGCATGCGTGGCGCGCTGCCTTCATTACGTAACTTGCCTTCATCACGCTCTGAAAGCATGCATTCAAACTCTCAATTTCTCGCACGAGCCCATCCGTTTTTGCTCTATTCGTTCCAGTACCTACACAATCTCTGAATTCTGGCGCGTGAACTCCAGTTCCGTACGAAAGTTCATTTCAAACTAGAGGGAAAGTACGGTGTTTGATTTTCCGCAGTGCGCGGACTGCAGCTGAATGATGTAATGAAGGCAGCGCGCCGCGCGGTTGGCCCATAGAAAAGAGATCACAGTTGCATACTCTTGGGTTATGGACTCTTCTGTCCCCGGGGAAAATTGCGATTCCGCGGCCGCGTTTTTTTCCGCTTTTTTTTGCGATTTTTTAAAAGACCGCGTTTTCCGCGATTATCCCGCGTTTTTTGAACTTTTTTGTTGCACTACACGTACACACAGTGCACTGTTTGGTCAGCAACGTCTCACCGTGGCGGCTTTTTACTCAAATATGACGAGTGCTTACACCAGAGACTTGTAACTGATTGACTTCACTACATACTCACTGAAAATTGCCGCACATCAATATTATTCACCGCATATTCACCGCATATTAACCGCAAATTCACCGCAAATTATGCCATATTATGCCGCGCTTTTCCCCGCGTTTTTTTGCGATTTTTTTCCGCAATTTTCCCCGGGGACAGACTCTTGGTAATATCAGGTTACTTACTATTAACCAACTGTAAGGGAAAGTCCAGACTCATAGGACAGAACATTCTGCAGAGTTGCGGTCAAGGCAAACATGCTACTAAGTATGCTTGGACCAAGACCCACCATTATCCTTGCACATCTGCAGACTACACACACATGTGAAACCGGACTTCTTCCTAGCCACTGTCAATTTTATTACCTACGGTGCCGCTGCTCGGTACTTTTACAAGATTTTAGACTGCTTGAGCAGTCGAATATTTTGTAGCAAAACAGCTGAAACTCTAGCCTTTCCTCAAGCGTTTTTGATGATAAATTATAGGCATGTGCTCACTCTGATCTTTCTTCTGTTTGTGGGCAGATTGCAGCTGTCAGCAAACTCAGACAATTCCTTAGGTGCCTTGGGCTTCGATACGCAGATGATGCTCTCTCCAAGTCCGAACTCAGAATTTTGGAGACACTGGAGTTCACATTATCGATTCCCAGTCCACTGACATATGTTGAGACTATACTAGAAATTCTTGGTGAGTGGAAGTGTTTTTGGAATACAGAGGCCTGGCCTTCCTCGGCCTCAGAATTTCATGTACTCTACTGCTGTGAGTCCATGGCATGATAACATGTTAATGCAGCATTGGTTGACCTTCCAATGCATATGTGACTGTGTGCAAGTCCTATCCTGTTGGGTGGCGAGTGCGAACCCAGGTGTGTTTATCGAAGAGCTCCCTGCAGCTTGTCCTCAGCGTGGTCCATACACACAATGGTGTGACATCATCATGGGTGATTCTCCATCAATCAGCACCCTGTTCTCATTACCAATTGATGCATGTGCGTACGGCTGCCCAGGATCGCCTACATTGTCGGTGGGTTTTTTGCTCATTGCTGTCCGGCCACCTGCAGTGCCCCCCCCCCCCCCCCCCCCTGGCTAGAACCCTGATACAGGTAGACCTTTCACAATTATTGTAATCTGAAATGCTCAATCTGCGGGCAGAACTCTTTCGTCCTTTGTGGACTCCTCAGCGTAGCACAGAGAAAATGAGGGCGAACCTGATACTATAGTGATAGCAATCAAAAATTTCCAAAGCCAGATTTAAACCTGGCCGGAAACGTGTATGATCAAATACTGAGGTTTAGCATCACGAATTTCGCGTTCGAGTTTGCGAACATTCTTCGGTTCGCGAACTGGATTGCAAACTTTCGCATTTTCCGTTCGGTAAAGACTTACGTAGTCGAAACACGAATTGCGGATTCGTGTCGGGACAGTCATAAATGTACTACACTGTACTGTCTGTACCCAAGATTCATGTGCATGTACGACATGTCCACGTCATGCATGTGCGAATTTCTGTTTGCTAATCCTGCTCATAACGCGAATTCCGTCACTGAGTTCGACTTTCCTTGGAGTGCGAACGCGAACGCGAATTTCGTCTTGCTTGCTAAACATCCGTAATGTCTACATCCATGTGTGCCGATATGTGTGTGTATATAATTATAATCTGTTCTAGTATCTAGTACACGTCGTCCCCCGTTAATACGAGTCCGGTTAGTACATAAACCCCGTTAGTACATAAGAAATCTCAAGTCCCGGATGAAACGTGGTCACTTCCATACAAATTGTCGGTTAGTACACAAATTGTCGGTTAGTACATAATTCGTTAGCACATAAAATTTCTCCGTACCCGCATGCCACCTACCTCAATAGTACATAATTTGTTGGTCTTTTGGCCTTCCAGTGGAGGCACATCGTGTTCTAGATTCTACTTGTGGACGCAATTAGCCCAGAAATCAGAGCGCCCATCACAAACCGACAAAGCTTTGTTTTTCCCCGAGTGACCACTGGTGACTGTACAGGCGCTAGGCGCGGCTGGGCATGTATTGTGTAAACTGTAGAATCTTCCCTCACTGTGACCATTATAACATAATTTGTATGTTATATCGAGGGAATCAAGAATATCTCGCTCCCTGGTCATGGTAGCAAGAAACACTCATATCAGAAAAGTTGAAAAAAGTGAAAAAATTCTGGTACACAAGCAAGTTATGTACACGTTCGTTTAGTACATAAACCCCGTTTAATAATACAATCATAACATTTGTCAAGTGCCAGAGATTAACATTTGTCAAGTGCCAGAGATTATGTATTAACGAGGGACGACCCGTATTTGAAATATTATGTGTGTGTGTGTGTGTGTGTGTGTGTGTGTGTGTGCGCGCACGTGCATGCATGCATGCATGCGTGCGTGCGTGTGGGTTTGTGTGCGTATCGCATTGCAGGCCACAACAGCAAGAAGTGTCGCGTGAAATTACTTCACGGAACCAGTTTGTTGGTACTAGACATGATCTATCTGAACTTTGAGGACATTTATGGCGAGATCTCTAAGACAATGGCAGCGGCAGAACAACGTGGCACTCCCATGGCGATAACATCCACACGATGCCTCCATAGTGCCAGTGCATTGCGCTCGGACCTCATGCTGCTGGCAGTCATTGTCACTGGCACTGCAGCTGTACTTGTCGATGTGGAAACAAGCTCTCATGTAAGTTGTGATCTTCACTAGTTTTTCTGGAGGCCATCTACTAGCAGGATAACAAGATACTATCCACTGCAATACATTTCTAAGTGGAACTGACACTGAATGATGCTCTTAACCCCAAGCACTCGAAGAAAATGAACTCAGTAGTTTTCCTTTCAAACTGTGGTTGATTCAGGTGATGCAACAGATAGCATTGATAACCCAAATGCCAAAGGAGTCTCTACGTGTCTTAGTCAAGATACTGCTGAACTGCATCATAAAGAGTGACAAAGCACTGGCAGCGACAGCGGCATCATAAGCAACTACCAGTCTTCTGTTTACCACTTGTTTTCTGCTTGCTATGCAATATGCTTTTCACACCCATTGCCCTTCACCTAACTTCCTGGAAACCTAAAATTAGCCAACTAGAAACTCGCAGGCCCCCGTTATTCGTTCCATATGTTCTTCTAAACTCCAATATATAAATAGAATCAATATTTATCTGAAAAGCTGCTCAGACAGGCCCAGTAGAATGATTCAACACCCCTCCCACATTAGTAGTGATATCCCATTTTTCCTCTCCACTTCACAGATGGCTGTATTTGGTTTCTTGCCACCGAATCTGAGCATAGTGATTAAAAGATAGGTAATTTTATTATGAAGAGGCGGTTTTATAACTTCAAACATACTTTTACTTACGTCAAAATGCACAAAATAGTTTCTTACCTATTCCTAGTCCGAGCCTGCAGTACAAAGCAGCAGTTGTTTGAATCACTATGACAGCAACATGGCACTTCTATATCATGTTGACGGTTCTTTATTGCAAGTCAATCCTTCCAGGTGTGTCGGAAGAACTGACCATGGGGTCCACCCGTCTCTTGTGCTGCTGCCAATACATGTACAAGGCAAAGTCATTGGGTCCATGTCCCTCACGTCATCATGCCACACTAACTTACTAACTTTGTATCCCTTGTTCTTGACTTGGCTATAAGCACTAAGGGGAATTCCCTCACTATCCCCTCACATCACATAGTGCACTGTGGCACATGCTGTACGGTTATGGGCAAACAGAGTGAGGACTGTCACATAGGCAGATAATATTACAAGTATAATAATAGGAAAAAGGCAGGAAATAACAGGAAATAAAATCTCGTCAACCACTATCATGAATTGCCATCCGGGACTAGAGGACCAACAACAGAAAATAATCATCTGTACAAAGAACACATTGTTTTTATGTACAGAATGTATAAGAGTTACAATGATGTGTGTTCCATGATGTGTTCCATGATGTATTTATATGACTGTGCAGGACAAAGTTTTTACTCAACCTCTCATTTGGAGTAGATGTTTTAACTGGAATTTACACTGTATGTACAGACAGACAGTAATATCGGAAGCTCACGACTGCCGTAACCGCTTGCCTTTGACCTGACCATCATTGTACTCGACTTCAATCTGTTTACGGCGCTTACGCTTGGCAACCTTCACAGGCGCCACCTCTTCCTCTTCTTCCTCTTCTTCCTCCTCCTCATCTCCATCCTCCTCACCATAATCCTGTATAAAATAAAAATAAAAATATCCCCACTCATGCGCTATGAACTTCACGGACAAAAATAGGCTAGTACAGGCACCATAGGGGTACAGGGAGTTGTAGCGTACAGGAAGACAACATGGGCGACTGTAATGCTGAATGATGCGCTCTCAGGCTGCCTGTAACCGTCACCCTTGAGCCAGGGCTGATTATGTAACTATACAAACTCGCCTATGGTAATCGTTTGTCTGGGTTGCCCTTCAGATCAGCAGGTTAAGGCCGTGATCCTAATACTTTGAAATTCTCCGTGAAGTCCAAATTTGAATTTGCAACCTTTCCACTTCCAAAGTTTATCGCTCTGTACTAAACCACTGCACATCACTTTGGGTAGCTGCGGTCGTGGACATTAAAACCCGATGGGATGAGCGGGGCCGGCACCCTTGCTGCTTTTAGCGCGTACATACCGTACTGGCAATATATGTTGCCGCGTAACGCGTAACGCAGGGGGGTGCGGCGTAACGCGCGACCAGGCTAGTGCGACAATTTTTGTTGAGTTCGTAACGCGCGTCCGGCGGGGTGCGGCGATCTTTTCATTGCAGTTTGCACTGCACAAGAAAAAATGATGCGGCAAAAGCAAAAAAATGATGCGGCAATAGCAAAAAAGTGATGCGGCAATAGCCAAAAAAGGACTGCGGCAATATAGAAACCTGTGTAACGGCTCCTGTGCGACTTTGCATGTAACGCCCTGCGTGCGGCAAACATGTGCCAATGTAACGCTTCATGGCCTCCCTGCGGCAACATATATTGCCAGTACGGTACACTGTAGTTCACGTACACACTGTAAAAAAGGGACCAGCAGTACTCGCGGCTGCAAGGTCAGCGCCTTGTGTCCGCTTGACTTCTCAACGGATTTCAATGTCCACGACAGTACCCCGAGTGAATCTCACCGCAGTGCCATTCGCTGAAGGTTACAGTAGCTAACACAGAGATGCCCCATCCACATCCGGTGTATGCACTACACAAGCAAGAGTACAGTACGGATCGGCTATAGCGTTGGTGTTTGATTTTCGTGAAAATATCACTATAGGCGATATATTACTATAGGCGATATGCATACTTAGGTATGCCTGGAAAATGCGTGTATGGTGTCATTCGAATCAGTGCAGCGTGCAGAAGTGTGCTGTGCATGTGACTGTGCAGTACGCGCAGTGCAGAGCTACTTCGTGTGGAAACAAAAACTTCGTGATTTTTTGACATGAGTTTTCATGGAGTTCCTGTGCTCAACAAATGTGTTCTTTTGGAAGAGAAACACTTCAACTCATTCAATCGACATATCAACAATATCTACAGGATCGATTAGTGGGAGTAGAGTCTCAGTCTGGGTCGCCATCGCTCGACTCATCACCGCTGAAACCGTTCCAAGTAGCAGGTCGATCGACGCGTGATGTCGTATGTCACGGAGAAGCTTCTCCGCGTCCCTGATCGTCTTCGCTGTTACCTGAATGCCTTCTCCAACATCTCGGCGGAGACCACGGTAGCGCTTCAGCGCTGGTACTCATTACTGCCTCCGATCTCGCTCGAGGATGCCCCGGAACAACAAGCACAGCCCGCGCCAAACATTTCGAATTATTTCCTCCGAAGGATATCATAGTCGTACCAGCGCTTCCTGGCTGCCGCGATCAGATCTCGCCATGTACGATGTATAATTTTTTTATGATCATCACTATAGCCGATGAAAAATGTATGCAATAAGATCATTTTGACAAAGAAATCGTATCATTATAGCCGATATATTACTATAGCCGATTATTACTATAGCCGATCCGATATGTATAGAAAGGGGTGGTTTACGAAAATGAATTTGAGAATACGATCACTATAAGAGGTATATTACTATAGCCGACAACCCTATAGCCGATCCGCACTGTACTTGGAAGTAAGAGACTGGGGATAAGCTACAGTGAAGACATAGATGAATCTCTAATAATATTATAATTCTCTATATTGACTGTGGTCATATAATTTACTGAGAAGCTGAAAATGTACTTTGATCTTACCTCCATGTCCAGATCACTTCCATCAAAGTCATCATCCGCAACATACTCTACCTCATCCTGTAACACACACGCACATGAATGCAGACACGTGCACGCATGTACGCACACATCCCAAACACAGCAGTACTCATGTACAAGAGTACAGCACACTACAGCACAAGGGTACAGGGCACAGCACAATGCTGTTATCATAGACCTGATCCTGGCCACAGTAGCCTAGGCACGAGCAAGAGTCCTGAGGACCGTTTCAGGTATGTTCCTTGCTTCAATCAATATCCGAATCATGCTGTTTGTTAGTACTCAGATGGTGAGCCAAGGAAAATATTAAACGGAAACAAGGAAAACGGTGGGGCACAAGGTATGCGTGCCGTGCAATGTCTCAGTAGGTCTACTCCTTGTCAGTCTGGTGCTACCTTGTGTACGTCTGACTGTTCAAAAATCTGGTTTAGTTGGTGCCATGTTTATTGCTATGGAAACTCGAAGAGTTTTTGCACGTGACGTGAATGCCGCCATCTTACTGAGCGACCAGGCGCAAACAGCAGTGAGGGTGCAATACAGAAGATTGAGGTCATCGGCGAATATTTAATCACACGTACGTCTTCGTCATACTCCTCGTCCTCTTCCTCCTCTTCCTCACCATCCTACGCACGAGAAAAGTGAACAAAACAGCAGCCATGACACATATGATTTGGCGGATGTGGATGCTTACTGACCTAAATAACCTGCACACAAAATACTGACACGTGCATGGCATCATAGGCAAGGGGACAGACAAAAACAGATACACCTTCCACTACAGGTACACTTGCTAGAAATAAAAAATGCAAAAAGCCTGAACCCTAAATGTTAGGAGAGAGAGAGAGAGAGAGAGAGAGAGAGACTCTGCTGCAAGAAAAATTGATAAAGGCAGATGGATTTACAGACAGACACTCACACGCACGTGCAAAGGTCATTTTTACGCCAACATTTTACAATACTGATAGATGCCCACTGACCTCTTCATTCTCTGACTCGGACATGATCTCTTCCTCGTCCAGGGCCTTTGTGAATGCCGTCTCCGGGAAGTTGTAGATCTCACCATACTGTACAGACAAAAGCAATGCAAGCAGTCACAAAAAACACACACAGAAGAACGAGTTCACTGCATGGTACACACTGTCACGAGTTCACTGCATGGTACACACTGTCACGAGTTCACTGCATGGTACACACTGTCACGAGTTCACTGCATGGTACACACTGTCGCCGAAACATGATGTCCTTGTTCCCGCATTGTGAACAAAGCCTAGATGTAGCAGCACAAATGACCTGACCTCAGTCGTTTGATGTAAGTTTTACTCTACTTGCTCCAAGCCTCCAACACAATCGAATTCCAAGTAAATTCATAAACAACAGCCCAAGAGGTGCAATGCTAAAGACGCAGCACTCGCGTTCTGACAGTATTTTACTACTATTTTAACATATTTCGAAAGCGGCACATTAACATGGTGATGGAGTACATATTATGCACAAGACATAGAAGACAGCGTGGCCACCGAGCAAGAACCGGACTTAGAAAGGACATAGTTGCTTCTACTGTGGAGTCTGCAATAACTTAGAGGCCCAGCTGATGCAGCATAGGTACAGGATAAACTAGCAAATACCATTACATTGAATCTTATTCACTTTAAAAGGCTTCCTCTACGTGCATATGTCACTTACTGTTCCTTCTCGTAGACGCTCTAGCAGTTCTTTCTCTATTGCCTTCTCCACCTTGGCTGCGATCAATGCCTTTTTCTGCACACAACAGAGTTACAATAATACATGAGAAAGCAATAAAGCTTTGCACAACTACATGTTCACAGCAGTACATTCTGAGAAAACAAGCACGGAACACTCCAGCCCTAAGACACAGCATGAGAGAATGCCCAGGAACATCACTATAGATAGTGCTGGCAGGGAGAGAAATCTGACAATGTTCTAGGCGGGAAGATTGACACCGCTCTAGGCGGGAAATCTGACACTGGTCTAGGCAAAACAAGCATGTGTACAGTGTACGAATGTGTTCTGGGGAAAGTGCAATATGTGAGAACCTAGCAGAGATTCACAGTACAAGTGTAAAGCAAAAGTATTCCCACTTGCAAGTGCTACCGACACTACTAGTACCCCATTACAGCAGCCAGTGCTATGTGAAAACAGAGAGCACGACACAATACGGTCGCACAGTGTAGCAGCAACCATAGAGTGCACATGTGAAGACGCGGCAACTCACCTCGCGCTTAGCCTCGCGCTTGTCAACCTTTTTATTTATTGTCACCAGCTTTTTACTGAAAACACCAACACCAGCAGCAAACATACACACACGATGTGGCAACATGAGACCCTACTAAACGGTGTTTTATTGAACGCACAAAGCAGTGATGATACGAATGCAAGGAGAGCAAAGAATTAAAAAGATGAACAGCAAAAAAAAGACCCTACACAACGTGTCAGCATAGTCCCTCCAGTCACATCTTTCAGAGCCAGTGTAGAAAGTGGCACACTCACATGAAGTGAGAAGACGATGGCCATGTCTGAATCTGAACACTGCACCCTAGGTTTACCAATTAGTAGAAAGCTTCAATCAATTATAATATGGTACAAGTGCAAGCCTGAGCTTGAATAAAGAAAAGCACGCTGGTGTTCCTAAAACCTGTGCTTTCAGCCTGGCATGTTCTTTTAAAAAATTGCGGCTAATGGCAACAGTTCCTACCTTGTTTTTAACTTCAGCTTTCTCATCCGAGTGAGAACCTAAATAGGAAACACACATCGAGACACAGAGTGTCAGACAGGTCGACACTGGAAGGTGTAAACACAAGCATTCTGCAGTCGGCTGAGAAAAGCCAAGCAGGCTCCACTGCTAGACCCGTCGCTTCTGTTCAGCCCATTCAGTGCTAGGATTTGCCATCATACTGTAAAAGCAGACATTTTCGGTGGTGTAATATTTTCGGTATTCTCCAAAATCGGCGGTTCGGTGGAGGGAAATTTTCGGTAAAACCCGTTTTCCAGGTACATGTAAGTGCGCTAGTACTACATGTATACAGTACCGGGTGTACTGAAATTTTCGGTGCGTTTTATTTTCGGCAAAAATTGTCGGCACCGAAATTACCGAAAATAAAACACCACCGACAATTTCTGCTTTTACAGTACCATAATAACATTACAAGGCTGCACCGATTCAGCGAGGCATGCTCCCCGTCCAGCTCAAACGTGAATTTCGAAGGGAACAAAATACACCAGACTGCAACAGTGCACCATCACGCACAGCTTGCACGGAGCACTATGTTATTATAGACAGTCAAGAATCGTAGACCCATGACTGGCTAGCACCTGCAGCAAATTGGACACCAGAAAGGCAATATCTCCATAGAGTATGGCCAATAGCAATGATGGTTCAAACCTCTAGGGCTCAAGTCAAGCAAGTAGCAAGCAGAAACAAAGGTTAATTGGATTGATCCACGGAAGGACTATGTAGAGAAATCAATAGCTGAAGGTGATTCCAACCTGCTTTGTCAAAAACTAGCGTCGGTCAGGGGAACCAATTCCCAGTGGAATTTTCTTTATCATGAACTTACCTGCGTTATCTTGGTGAAGCGCTGCTTGCACTTGTGAGTCTGAAACTTTGGCCAATAGAGCAGATTGTCGTCAATCTGATAGAACAAAGCAGGTACACAGAACAGACTTGTGAAGGACAAGGGGAAGTTTTCTAAAAGACGTCCGGGGGAGGTCACAGAATACAGTAAATCTTACAGCACACGTACAAAATGTGCCTTTATTATGAATACAAGAATGGTATTTCGTAACCAAGGTACTCTACACCCGAGGATAACTGACTGGAAAAGAATCCACAAGTTTCCCCAAAAAGTGTATAGCATCCGATGCAAGAGCAGTGCCACTGAAGAAGCAATTACATGTACTTAACTCTAACCTCCATTACAAGTGCAATATTACCACCTAGAAACAAGTAGGAGAATGCAGCCAGGCACAAAACATTGCCACCCATACCTATGCCCACACCCACAGTTACCTGCTGAAGTGCCGTATTGTAGTTCTTGGAGAGCTTGATCTTCTCCCACATCTTGGCTGGCATGTGTGCTCGTTCAATGGTCTTCACATAGAGGTAACATATACCTGCAGTCAACAAAGTTCCATCAACCATAATGATGATGATTTGAACACGACTATCACCAAACCCAAGAGAAGTATCTACGCCTCCGGTATGTTTCCTGCATACAGTAAAACCTGTCCAGGTGACTACAGGTCAGACCTCGCTATAACGTAATCTCTGGGGGGTGGGAGAAATTATGTTATAGCGAGGTTGATGTTATAGTGAGTTGGGCACACCAATATGCAATATGTATGTCAAAATGACGCTCTTCACTTACTGATTACAACTATACACTGTACTGTTTTACATACAGGTACAGTGAAACCTCGTTAGGAAGAACACTGATAAGACAAATGTTTGCCTAAGAAGAACTAGTATTCGAAACTGTATTGGATAAAACCCTGTGTATTCACTCGGTAAAACATATGGATAAGAAGAACTCCCGTTATTGCGAACAGATATCATCGGTCCCTTGATGTTCGTCCTAAAGAGGTTTGACTGTATGATGATGACTAGCAAAGATGTGTACAGGCTTGTCAGCAAAGGGGTGACAAGAGTCATGTAGTGCGTGTACTTGTACATGTGACAAGATTAGAGCCTGTAAAAAGTAATGGGAGTAGTAAAATACCAGTATTTTACTACTCCCTGCTTCCGGGGTGGACGGCTCACAGTGCTCAGTCTCGAATTCGTCGCGAGAAAGCATGCATGCCGTGTACATAGCCATTTTTATACGAGTTTTTACGTTATGCTGAGGTCTCCGTGCGCCCGGAACCCAGCAAACAGTGCGTTATAGGAACATTACGCTATAGCGGATTATGTTATAGCGAGGAAATTTTGTACAGAAGTGATGCGGTTTCGGCAGGGACATTCACATTTGTACGTTATAGTGAGGTTTATGTTATAGCGGGGGTCGTTATAGCGAGGTCTGACCTGTACTCTGATAAGGCAAGCACCTGTCTCAAGCAGGTTTCCCTGTACCTACAACACTGTACACTACCATGTACATTGCGGAGAGATGGTCAGATGCCAGCCAGGATATTACAAGCCTGATAAAACTGAAATGAAAATCAGTCAGCGCGGACTCCGGCAAGACGTACACCTGGTGCACACATTTGATGGCACCGGTTTTTTCCCCCATCGGACCATAATAGGCGTATAAAAAAAAGTATTGCTATGACGGTTCATAACGTACTTTCTGCACAGGGTGTACTGTTTGGTGGTCCTGCGAAGGGCTAAGCTATGTTCATAACTGGCGTGTGTACCCGAGAAACTGTGCACTTGTGCGTATTTTAATTTTTGCCGGCTTTCGGGCGACATGCGTATGGAAACGCGCTGAAATTGAAATTTCAATACGTATGTTTCAGTGTGTATCAGACGCGCACTGGCGTATATGTCAGTCACTTTGTCTGGCAGGGTCAATAAATTAGTACTGAGTAACTCAAATGCGTCACACGACCTAAACTACGATGTGAATTGCTGTTTTGCGTGAAAGCCTCAACACGCGTTAGAAACACATGGACCGTAAACGTAGTGTACATGTGCCAGTTATAAACACAGCTTTAGTCTTTGTTGACACACTCTTTTCTCATCACTTCTGGAGAAAATGTACCTGTCAAGTGGCTATAAAGAAGCCAGGCTTCTGGCTGGTCAGCATGCAGCTGGGGGGGGGGGCTGTGGAGTGAGTGGAGCTGTGACTGACTTAACCACTACCCTCTTGGCATGTGTCGTGATGCACGTCACTCACAGTAAGCATTGCAGTCACGTTGAAAATATTATAACAATATGATTTCGAGCCACTTGCCGTATTCGATACGTATATGAGCTGGGTATGAGGTTTGTGAGAGTAAGCCTGCGAACAAAATACCCTGGATACTGGGAGCTTTTCCCCCGTTCTAGCTGGGCACGTTATATCAAGGCTTCACTGTATCATTAGGCGGTGGAAAAGACAGCAAGGTCTGGGGAGAATCAATCAAGGCATTTGATCATAGTTGAGTGACTATGCTGCTCGCTTGTACCTTTATCTTCACGAATAGTGGCATATCGACTGTTTGCCAGCGGGCACGATTGACGATTGCACAAGCCGGTGGAGTTGTGCTCATTCCTGCAGAATGTCTGCGTCTGTGTTCTACAGGGAGTGGGGCAACACATGCACGTACGCACACACATACGTGCACATACGCACGTCATGCACACACACATACACACACACACACACACATATGCATGAAAGACAAACACACACACCACACACACACACCACACCACACACACACACACACACACACACACACACACACACACACACACACACACAAACACACACACACACACAATACACCGATCAAAACATCACAACGTACAATGGCATGGTCTAGGTACAGGCAATAGGAGATCAAGAAGAAACATGGATCCACAGCCACCCACTCAAGTAACTAGTTACACACTTCCGTTGGTGTTTGTACTCTTCAATCATACAAACATGTGATACATCGGAGAAGACAGGAGGTACTGCAGCCTAAGAATGTACGGGAATGGCCTTTGTTCATCGTGCATTCTTATATTCATTGGCTCGGACAAGTACATAGTCACCAGCAGAAACGACGAACATCCGAATTAGACGATTGACAATACTAAACTTGTACTACCATAAAAAGACACGAACGACTCCGTTGCGAATAACGCTGAGCTATGATGGGATATGTCCAAGCTTATTTGTCACTTACTTCGACTTGAATGAGCAAAACTGATGCCCAATTAGCTGCCATATCATCTACAGGAACACAATGGAAGAATAAAAATGTAGGGAACTTCTCGCTATTCAGGAGACCGTGGTAGGACTTGACACTCACTTCATCACTCTGCATCTTGAATTTCTGATTGGCAACTTCATGCAAACTAAAGAACTATCAGAAAGAGCTGAACAAAGTTTCTGTCTTGTCCAAGGTTGATGCTAACTACTTTGTACTCAGCTGCATAGCAGTGTAACTTTTGTTTGCTGAACACTTCAATTTTTTCCTCAACCAACACTGCAACACTGAACACGCACATGTACGTGTGATCGTGAAGGAATCTGTGTGACATCATGCACATACGTACAAGCAGTAAAAATAATGCGCAAATGTACAAAATCTGTCGTCATGGTGAACTTCATGATTTTTCGGTGAAATGCCATTTAACCACTCTCTGCGCGTGCGCAAACGAGGATTTCTATAATATTTCCACTTCCTGTCAGGTTTAGAACGATTTTTACAAAGTGTTAACCGCGGAGAACTCGAAACCTGTATGTCTTTGGTCAAATATCGAAAAAGAAAACCGGCGTAAGATCAAGAAGAAGAGGACACCGTTGCGGCGTTTCTTCTTGCAACCCAGTCATCTTCTTACACTCTTTCGTGGGTAACTTAGTTCTTCTCACTAAGCACAATGGGAGGACTTGGAGGACCTCTTTGGGATCCCACTCAGGTCGGCTGGAAGTATTACTTCAACACTAATGCCCTGAAACCCAGGCGGAATGTGAGTGGTGAACTTTTTATTACCAATTATGAAGACGATCTAAGTTTTGATGAAATACATGTATACACGTCTCAGATCGTATTCCTCTGACTACTTGTTGCTGAGTAAGCCTCTAGCTGTAGTGGAGGAGGGGTGAACGTCTTCTTGTAGGGGGAGCATCTGTGCGATCTTCACTGAATTCAAACCCTGTATTTTTGACGAGTCATTATTGTGCATGCAGTAAAATCAAAACTAGCTATAAAGTAGAATTACAAGCTTTACATGTTCGTTTCTGATCATACATGTAGGGCGGGACGTTTTCAAGACTTCTTGTTTTCAATAATTTAAATGACATGAGCATGCAGTACAGTCTGTTCGGTCATACCAAGATGGTTGTACCTAAAACATATATAAGGCCAAGTAAAAAAAAAAGCTAGATGATCGTCCCCGTCCGCCCCAGTTTTTGTCAGCGCCCCAAGAAATATTTTATTTTTTAAATCGTGAGTTTTTGCCGAAATCGTTGGTTTTTTACCGATCGCGGATGCAGGAAACATGTGCACGCTTTGTTTAATACTTTCTTTACTATATGGACCACATACTACTAGTATATCACAACGTCAGTATCGATCTGCTGAAGAAAGAAAAAGAAAAAAAGAAAAAAAGAGAAAAAAAACCTTGATGTTGTTGTGTACACTGTGTGCATGAGAGGGTAAAAAGTAAAAAAATAAAAATAAAATCCTCCCGCCCTCCCCGATTTTTCCAAAAAAAAGGACGATCATCTAGTAATTTTTTTTACTCGGCCTAATTGATGTAATTTTAATCAGAACAGCCCAGACAGTGTAGAACTTTTTGAATTGTGCGCAGACTCCAGTGCAGCCATTTGCAGTGTGCTCTCTTAAGCTGTGTTCACAACTGGCGCGTGAACGCTGTACGCTTGCGGTTCATGCGTGCCCAAATGCGCTCAGGCTTTCACAAAAAAAAACAGCAATTCGAGTCGTATTTCGGGCGTGCGACGCATTCGAGTACTAATGTTTTGACCCCGCCAGGCAAAGTGACTGGCATGTAACGCATTTCCCCGATTATAGGTCACACTCGATTGTAAGTCGTACCCCCCATGTCCAGGTCCATGTCATTATGGTGCGCCGGTACGCGCTGAAAATGCGTGTTGGAATTTCCATTTCGGCGCGTTTCCATACCCCATCTGTTTGGCCGTGTGGTGGGCCGTGCGTTCATAAAATGTAACGGATGCTTGCGAAGACAAGATCATTCATGTGTTCTGAGCAAAGAAGACTTTGCCTATGAGTAGTACATGTATATACTATACGTTGTATGTTACTTCAAGTACTGTACTCAAGAAGGGTACGCAGCAGTATTCGGTCTTGTACAGAAGAAGTACGGAAGTGTCGCTTTGCTGATGGTGTGCTGTGGCAGCGTGTCGAGTTCAGCCGGAGAGTGCGATCAGTGTGGTGTGGTGGTTGATGTAAAAATGTATCTTACTTTTTCAAATATGTCTAATTGTGGACATGTGGTTCCTATTCCAGTAGTAAAGAGAGCCATGGTTTTTTAGAAGGTTGGAACCATAAAGTACAACCAGATCGTCTCACCTTGATTTGCAGCTGAGGGAAAGACCCTCATATGGCTGAATTCAAACTAAATTCTTACAGCGCAAACTAAATTCTTACAGCGTAAGGGGCTATCCGGCATTATCGATAATTTTCACGAAACGAAAAAGTTAATTTAGGACCCTCCCCCACCCACCCCCCTGAACGAAAAATAGATTGACTTGACAGCAAGAACGCCTGGATGTCTCTCATATCAATGTTTTTCAAAACGAAATTCCCCTTGACCGACCCACCCATATACGAAACTATTTCTCTTCGTGTAAAAGATCGATAATTATGGACGGCCCTTAAGGTTAGTTTGTTGCAACTCTGACTTTCGTGCTCAAAATGAAATCAAGCAACTATCGCCTGATGAAACTCAGAGTTGCAACAAATTAACCTTGGTCCACTGTTGTGCTGTGTACTACTCTGGCTCGCGGCATCCAAGCACCCTCAGCACACTGAGTACTCTAATTTCAGAATTTTTGGTGCTCAGTATTTTCGGTATGAGGGCAAAAGGCCAGGTTAGGTGAACAGAAATTTTCGGTACAGAGAAGCAGTTCCCTGTTGGATTATGTGTGTTAGTGTTTGTTCGGTGTATTGAAATTTACGTATGAAACATATGCACCGAAAGTACCGAAAATAAAAGTACACCGAAAATTTGTGAAATTACAGTACATCCTTTGTAAATACTAGTAGTTACAGGTACAAATGTAGATAACTTGTTCCATGTTGTCCACACTCGGTACTCGGTATATGTATGTGTGTATGGAGCCCTGTGTGCGGATGCATGCATGCTTTTCACCATCATCACCATCTGATTTTTACTCCTTCCTCAGCTGCATCTCAGCCTTTGCGTTGTCTTTTTTCGATAATTTCTGTGTGTGTGCGCATATGTACGTGTGTGTGTGCGTATGTACGTGTGTGTGTGTGCTTGTGTTGTCATTGCACTCGCTCTGGGATAGGTTTCTGCTGCTGCAATTGGCGCGTGGGTAATGGTTTACCAGACGTACAAGTTCTTCGCCAAACGCAAGGCAAGGAAGATGGAGGCACTGAAGGCAGTCAAGACGGCATAGGCGTGAAGCTCTGTCCATTTGTCAGTGTCATGTTGTAGTAGCGCTTTTAAATGCCCCCTTTGGCTTGTAAGACTTGTATGAACTTGTTGATTATGCGTTCATTATGAAATTTTAATTTAATGTTATTCGCTGTTCGCTTCCACATGCTGTTTGTATAGTTCCTGTAGTGTCCGTGTGGTGGTGTACTTGGAGGAGTGCAGCTTGTGAACTCCCCGACTAGCCTGCGCTGTGTGTACATACATGCTCATGCTAGCTATTTTTCACCCCTGCGCTGACATGCAAGGAGTGTGGTTGCCCTTGCATCACAAGTGTAAATACACATGATATAGACTACTTTGAAGTAGCAGTGTGACTGAGCGTGGGAGAACGCCTGCGTTGGCATGCAAGGAGTGGCTCCTGTCCATTGTGCATTGTAGCCGTGGCCTATAACACAGGACCTGAAAGTGGTGGTATCGGAAGTCAATCACTGACGACTTACGAGTCCGATTGGATCCACTCTGACCATAGCGAAGTGCCGTGTGTGTGTGTGATGGGCAGACCCATCTTGGGTGGTATGCTGGTGTGACTTTTCTGTACAGGTTCCCCGGACAAGATCATTAGATGGCCCTGTCCAATCAGTACTGGAGGGCATGTATCATCCTACATGACTGATTGTATAATAATTATGTGAAGGGAAGCACACTAAGTGTCACATTGTGTAGCTTTCTAAGGAAGAGTGGTCATCAGTCAACAACCAAAATCATAGATTGTACTTTTGAAATGCATGCACAGTCATGTACATGCAGTTGCTTGGTGCTCAAAATGCAGTATTGATTACTAGACTTACTACTATATCCGAATAGCTTACTTTATCAGTTTATGGTGGCAACAATGTAACATTGTTACATGTACATGAACACACTGAACTCGACTCAACTCAACTACAAAAAATTACAAAAGAAGATCTAGATCTACCAAGCTACACGATCAGTTGTGTACAGTTGTGACTCGCTTGAGAGTGACGTCATGGTATTCTCCCGCAAAATTTAATTATTATTTGCGAAAATACTAGTGTATCGATCCATCAAGAAACGTACTGCTGCAGTAATTATTTTGTTATTGTTTTCAACATACATAATCATTTCGTTCGAGTGATGTATGTGGTAGCACGCGAAGTTAGTGGCGTGAAGAATAGTTTAGATCTTTACCTTTTTGTTTGGATTTGGGCCCATGCTAATCGCCTTCTCCACATCTGGACAAGCAGCAGATGGCGAATTCTCCAGGTTGATAGAAGTTTAATTCTGAACTACTGAAGTCATCATTTCGTCTCACCGACTACAATTGTGGTAATACGTCTCCTCCGCCTCCTCTGCATCAGAATTCGTTGTCATTTGTCGCATTCAGGAGAGTATACTAGTACTCTCACCTGTCTTCATTCTTGAGAACCTTTTCAAACGAGTGTGTACACAGTAGCCAGCAAAGCTAGTCTAAGTGCCTGCTGATAGCTGCACATTACATGGTGCCTTTCTGCTGGAGGGTTGGTGAGGGTACGTGCCAGTTCTGCGAACGCTCACTCGTAACATGGCAATGTTGAGCGGCTGCTGTCTGCCTTGCAGCAATGGCTGTCGTGCAGCCGTCGTCAGGATGATGAATACGTATGTGCATAACAGTCAGCTACCACGGCTGAGTTTAGCGGGCAAAGTGCTGCCACCGGTAACCAAATTCACGCCGGGCCAGCTGTTCATCCATAAGAAGCTTGGTTACTGTGGTGCCGTGCTGACGTCTTGGACGGCAAAGTACTTTGAGCATCTGAACGGCCTGGCCGAGGCCTCACCCCGACCAGAAATGGGTACCGAGCTGAGCGTACAGCGTCAACGACTAGTCGATGCCAGTCCCATTGCACACAGTGCTCGTAAACTTGAGCTGGACAGGGTGCGGCGCTTCTACACGGTAATGGTAGACGAGCGTAACATGCAGCTGATTGACCCGCGATTACAGTCGAATATCTTGAGTACAGAGCTAAAGCTGGATTGTGTGGATCACGATGACATCATACCAATCGAGATGATTGATAGTCAGGGTCATGAAACACCAGTGCTTACAGGCATCTTAGAACAGCAGCCATCATTGTTCACGGCCGACCGGCACAAAAGCGCCGATGGCCATTCGGTGTCGTTAATGCCGACCACGTTCTTGCAGGACTGGCTGGATACTCACCAGCAGGCTATGCCTTTCCAGTGCCAAGAAGTACACTTTGAGATTACGGCTGGGTTCAAGGTCACGGTGATGCCGTTCTATTTCGGCAAGCAGTCCGACGACGACGGCGTGCATCTGTGGAAGTACTGGTATCGTATCGAGTGTATGGATGCGTCCGGTCTAGCCAGCGGTGCTGACTTTGTCACGTTGCGTGAGCACCATTGGAATGCAGCGCAACTCTCGTCAGCATCTTCACCGTCGGCATCTTCACAGGACGAGCGCTCGAGTTGCAGCAGTCCCGACGCGCCGGTCTTCCGGTCGGCCGGCCGGCCTCAGGCCACCAAAGGCTTGTTCCACTCGGCGGACTATCTAGATCACGTCTATCAGAACTGCAACACGGTTCGCTTGGAGAAAAGCGGCGGCGCGCTGTGGGGCTGGTTTCGCATGGAGGCACGTGACGGTGTCTCGTTCAACTGTTTCATGCCACAGTTCTCACTGGTAATACCGGGCCAAGGTTCTAAAAAAAAGAAGTAGCTGTCTCTGTGTGCATGGACGAGGTAAAGCCTGAGACTATCCTATTTAAAGTGTGTGCTTTTTCACCAAGACGACAAGATTACACAACAAAACATGGCATAACGAAACACTAGATCACACAGCACAAATGCCCCATGTGGCAGTATTCTGATATATCCTTCCCCTTTCCACTTGAGCTCATACTATTTTATACCATCCAGATTCGTCATGTTCAGTCACCTATTCTAGGGTTATTATTATTTTTGTTGTTTTCAAACTGCTACTGGTCCATACTCAGGATCGCTTTCAGCTTACTGTACTTCTTCTTGTTCCTAATATTATTACGAACTTTAATACAAAGTCACATTCACAGGATGATCCTTGAAGGCCGGTCAAAGTGCTCAATGAGAGTACTGACAGATCAGCACTCCAGAGCTTTCACATACACACGCCTGCACGCAAATGATTTATGTTACTTCACTTTATTCTGTCCACCCGAAGATGATGGCAGGTCCATGAAGAGAGACAGAGAGGGAGAGAAATAAATAGAAAATCCGGAAAAAAGAAAAAAAACAGGTTCAATAGTAGAGTTGAAATTGAAATGGTAGTGTGTTGTGAAGCGGTCCAGGCCGACAATACTGGCCAGAATACCAGCCTTAGCCTGATCTACCGGTACATTGATCTATACTGCATGGCGAGACTTAACGCTGCGTCGGCCAGGGCCATACCACACGCATGCCAGTAGCGAAACGAACGTGTTACTAGTAGTTGCTCAAGCCTCGCTCTCCATGCACATCACCGATTATACACATGTACTTTCAAGCACCTTTGCATTGGCTTCTGCCATTGGACGGTGAAACAACAAATTAGCAAAATAAAGTATTTCCTCAAAGGAAAAATTGAGTGGAATAAAGCTTAAAATACCAAAAAAAAACTACTAGATAAACGGTCCTGCCGCCTTGTTTTAAAACCATAGATTTTATACTATTCTCCGACGAGAACAAACCATTCAGAGTGCCGACCATCGGATGTCTACTGTGCCTTTGAAAGCACCACCATGCAAGCTAAAGATCAGGACTGATCTTGGACGTATCTTCCTCGGGCCGCTCGACGTACTTATAGCGCACGGCCATCACGATGAAGACGGACGTCACCACCACGGTCATACCGGCAAAGAAGAAGAACTCCGCGACCTGCATGCACACGAGGGCAGTGTGAGAAAGCAAATGCCTTCATGGATTTGAACGTCCAGTACTCTCCAAGAGCATAGCCCTAGTCCTATCGTTGAAGTTTATGTCTGCAACGTTTTATTTATGGGCAATAAACAACACTACATTGTACAATAAATTGTATACTATGTGTTCAAATTAGAAGGAGTCTACCTGTTTCAAGGAAGGTAACCTATGTGTACACGACTCTCCCGTCAGGATACAGTTGGTTACCAACGACATCTTTCTCATCATGCTGCAGACGATGCATCGAGTTCTGTTTCCGTTGTCTCCAAGCCATGTTTCATTGACATGTGTCATGCTCAGAGTCACCATGCAATAGGTCAAAAACACCACAGCTTACCTGACTGTCGAAAAACTCGGCCTCTGCAACAATCACCACGATCAGATTTCCAACCCCGACGGTTGTCAGCCACATGGACTGCATCAGGGACTTCATGCTCTTTGGCGACTGTGAATAGACGAATGCCAGTCCGGTGATGGAGAACATGATCTCACCGGCCGTGATCACCGTGTACTGGATTAGCTGCCACAGGATGTGAATACTGGTTGGGTCTGCGTCCACCATGCGCGTGACACTGACCTGTGTGCGTGGTGTAACACAAAGACGGTGAAATATGCAATACCAGATTACAACAAAATAATAGTAAAAAGTAACTTCAGGTGAACAGGACCTCGCTTATCCAGAATATTGATTCCAATCCAAACTGGCAACACTTTTGTTGCCTTGTTCCTTTTCTTTCTTGCTTTTTTGTGTCAATACCTGCTTCTAGAGCACACATGGAGTACTACTATCCAGAGAAGGACTGAGACATGTTGGCATTGTCCCTCCAACTATTGGTCAGATATGGCATACAGTCGTGCATGGTGCCCAAACGTACGGATTGGATTATCTAGACGCATTGTGCCGGGTCGCTGACAAAACGTGTTTGGATAAGTGAGTTACACCTATACAGGTAGTGGCTGTGAACAGGAGTACGGCTAGGCGCTTGTCTGAAAGGGTGTGCATGCTGGAATTCCGAAACATCAAATTATACCCCGCACAAGTGCGTGTTACTCATGCACGGTAGGGATGTGTGAAAAGCAACCATACCTTAGTCGGGTCAGAGCTACTGCTTGGCCCCAGCAGCACTGTGTACAAGACTCCATTCTCAAACTCAAACGTACCATTCTGAAATGAATTAGAACGGGAAAGACACAGAGGAGTACACGTGCACGGGTGATAAAAGCAGGTACTTGTATACACTACATAGCATGCCAAGTGGGCCAAGTGAGAAGTATACTGATCCCTCCCGTTTATTAGGTGGGGAAGTACTCGGTAGGTGCTGTTAAAAAAATAGCCATTCACAAGCACATGCTCTCGCTGCACCACTCCAAACTCACGTATAGCGAGCTGTTTGACGCACTGTCCTTGACGTCAACAAGCCATGCACTGCAGCAAACATGACCACAGAAGCAAGCAGATTTCATCAGAAGCCGACTATGGCACGACCATTATGTAACAGAATATGAAGAGACGCGAAGAGAAGTACATGTACTGTACAGTAGCAATGTAATAAATTGCTAACATTATTGTTTGTCGCATATGCTTACATGCACAGCACTAGGAAAGCAATGGGAACCGAGCCCGAAACACTGACAAACATTGAGAGAATGAAAGTCCTCCACTTTGACACGATGTGTGACAGTCACAATGTATGCAGCCGATCAAAAACAAGCTCACTGTAGCGCATGTAAGGTAGCATGTACACCAGGGAGTCGTAAAATACCGGTATTTTACGACTCCCTGGTGTACACACAGTGGTCACGCTCGCACCACGCTAGCAATTCAAAGCAGTATATGGCTCGCTTGCCAGGACGGGCTGTACGATGCACACCATTGGCACATTGAAAGTGTACACAGTAGCACGACCACTGCTGTACATCCATTCCAACGAGACAAACACCATGTTATCTATCGTGCATGCACAATGTGAGAGTGAAGCAATAAGATAGTTATAATACAGTATACTAGTATTACAAGTATAGTGAAACATGGTTAGGAAGAACACTGATAAGACAAATGTTTGCCTAAGAAGAACTAGTATTCAAAACTGTATAGGATAAAACTCTGTGTATTCACTGGGTAAAACATATGGATAAGAAGAACTCCCGTTACTAGTGTTGCGAACAAATATCATCGGGCCCTTGATGTTCGTCCTAAAGAGGTTTGACTGTACATGAATATGCCATAGTACATAGTACATAGTACATGGTATGAGTTAGCCTTGCTTGATACTTGTAGTTTACCAGGTATGATGATGGTAGCACATCACAAGGTGGGGGACACACACGGCAAGGTAACAGAGTTCCTGACTGCAACCACAGACTGGTTGGTAAGGTTCAGATAGTCGCAAGACCAACCAATCTCTGGTTGCAGTCAGGGATACTTCCCCTACAGGGTGTCCGGCTTCGGCTTGTGATGTGCAATCACCATCATACCTGATGAGCATACTAGAAACACAATCGGGAGTACCCCCAAGAGTGTGCAACTGCCTGCACAACCTCTATCCAGTGCTGCGACGGCAGAACTTCAGATCACGTGACATGGTTCAAAAGGTTACGCTGGCAAACATTGCAAAGTGACCAACAGAGCCAAAGCACAACCCTGTACCAGACTTACTGTGCTGGTGGCGTCAACACATTGCGTGTCGACTGCTGTAGAAAGCCAATGCCCGTGCTCATGCTGCCACGGCGAAGCACCTCGTCGTGCATCTTCCTCTTCGATTTGTCATAGTAGTGCATGGTGACGTAAACACTTTGGTAGACGGCCGACGGGTTGCAGTTGAGTATCCTGTTGATACGGGGAGCAATGCCAAATACACCGGTGCTATCTGATCTCATCACAGTGTCTCCACCATACATTACTGGCCAGTCATACAAACACCTAGCAGCTATTTCGCATCAACTACGCACAAACACACACGGACATTGAGCAGAACAGAGTCCCTGTATGAACTTGTTCGTGCACAGTACAATTCAAGGATATCGGGAAACACCATACCTTATTGCAAATTCATCACCACCCAGCTTGGTAAGATCATGAGTAATCTACAGGTTCACAATGAGTCAAAATAGAAAAAAGGTATTTTTGGGTATAGATAGCAGATGTGTTCATCACAAACCGTGATGCACTACTAGTACAGTAAAACCTGGTTTAAGCGACCGCCCCATATCCCCGGGCCCACAGCGACCGCCCCATATCCCCGGGCCCACAGCGACCGCCCCATATCCCCGGGCCCACAGCGACCGCCCCATATCCCCGGGCCCACAGCGACCGCCCCATATCCCCGGGCCCACAGCGACCGCCCCATATCCCCGGGCCCACAGCGACCGCCCCATATCCCCGGGCCCACAGCGACCGCCCCATATCCCCGGGCCCACAGCGACCGCCCCATATCCCCGGGCCCACAGCGACCGCCCCATATCCCCGGGCCCACAGCGACCGCCCCATATCCCCGGGCCCACAGCGACCGCCCCATATCCCCGGGCCCACAGCGACCGCCCCATATCCCCGGGCCCACAGCGACCGCCCCATATCCCCGGGCCCACAGCGACCGCCCCATATCCCCGGGCCCACAGCGACCGCCCCATATCCCCGGGCCCACAGCGACCGCCCCATATCCCCGGGCCCACAGCGACCGCCCCATATCCCCGGGCCCACAGCGACCGCCCCATATCCCCGGGCCCACAGCGACCGCCCCATATCCCCGGGCCCACAGCGACCGCCCCATATCCCCGGGCCCACAGCGACCGCCCCATATCCCCGGGCCCACAGCGACCGCCCCATATCCCCGGGCCCACAGCGACCGCCCCATATCCCCGGGCCCACAGCGACCGCCCCATATCCCCGGGCCCACAGCGACCGCCCCATATCCCCGGGCCCACAGCGACCGCCCCATATCCCCGGGCCCACAGCGACCGCCCCATATCCCCGGGCCCACAGCGACCGCCCCATATCCCCGGGCCCACAGCGACCGCGCGCGCGCCCCATATCCCCAGGCCCACAGCGACCGCCCCATATCCCCGGGCCCACAGCGACCGCCCCATATCCCCGGGCCCACAGCAACCGCCCCATATCCCCGGGCCCACAGCGACCGCCCCATATCCCCGGGCCCACAGCGACCGCCCCATATCCCCGGGCCCACAGCGCGACCAACAGCGGGGACCATGCACATACTTCCGTCAACTCATATCGACAAGTGTTGGGCACAAAACACTTTCACGGAGACGAAGCACCCGTGAGTTTTCACACCTCACTCAAGTGCATGCAGTGCACCCTGCACTGTCACTTGTCACTTCCGGCAGCCGTATGCACTCGCTTCTGAGTGCACTTCAGCCCTGCTGCGGTCAAGCATGCCACCCAGGACAGCACTTGCGGCCGCTGCAAGCACGCCAGACATGGCACTTGGTACAATAAAAGTCGGTCGCTGGTCGCGCAATGCAGGTGGTCGCTGTTTCGGGTGCAGTTTCTATGCGCGCCAGTGCATGGAAAACCGGTAGTTAAAATCAGGTGATCGCTGATACCAGAGGTCGCTTAACCCAGGTTTTGCTGCACATGCAAAATCAAACCTACCTTCTGTGATCACCCAGCCCATTTATTATTATTATTATTATTGCAAATAACGCTGAATAATTACACAATGTATAAAAACCAGCATTTGCCAAATGGAAGGAAGAATGAGCACACAGTGAACCGGAAAGCAGTCTCTAAAGACATGTGTTCTTTGTAAACAGTCCCCGAGTGTATAATTGTAACAAGCGGCCCGGGGTCGAAACAGTTACAGTTGCTTGTGTCATCCTACTAGATGTTACGATACCCTGCTGTCAACATACAGTGATGTACAGTGATGTACAGTGATGTACAGTACAGCACAGTACAGCACAGCACAGCACAGCACAGCACAGCACAGCACAGCACAGCACAGCACAGCACAGCACAGCACAGCACAGCACAGGACAGCACAGTACAGCGCAGCACAGCACAGCACAGTACAGCACAGCACAGCACAGCACAGCACAGTACAGCACAGCACAGTACAGTGATGTACAGTACAGTACAGTACAGTACAGTACAGTACAGTGCAGTACAGTACAGTACAGCACAGCACAGCACAGTACAGTACAGTGATGTACAGTACAGCACAGTACAGCACAGCACAGCACAGCACAGCACAGCACAGTGATGTACAGTACAGTACAGTACAGTGCAGTACAGTACAGTACAGTACAGTACAGTACAGTACAGTACAGTACAGTACAGTACAGTACAGTACAGTGCAGTACAGTACAGTACAGTGACTGTATGAACTATGCAGTCAATTGTCTACAACGTGCAGGCTTTGTACAGTCACATACAGTCATCACTTGGCACATGGCAAAGCAGTCTACAAGATGCAGCGCTGGGATGCGCGTTGTTCGCGTCGTAAATCGCAGCCGGTTGTCCGACTGGACCAGAAGGCTTGTGTGTGTGTGTGGGGGGGGGGGGGGGGGAGAAGACCTACCCAGTGCACCTACCTGAGACAAAATCAAGTGGCTGCCATTGTAGGCCGCTACCACACTGTCAATACTTGCACCTGAGAAACTGAATTGCCGGGTTGATCTCAATTGACTGCCATTGATGACTGTTGTAGCCTTGACTTCAAACTCACCGGGACGGAGATCACCGAAGGATGTAGCCTGTACACAAGCAATCGCAATGCACACAGCCGGTGGACAGGGTGGTCATGAAGTTGATCTATGGAGTGCAGGAACTAACTTGTGTTCACTCAGGAACATTACATGGTGTCAGAAGTAGCAGCTAGTCATGTCGTCTGCCAAATTTCCTGTACCTGCCCCGTTCGACTTCTCCACCCCAGAAGCATGGCCACTCTGGAAGACCTGTTTTGAACGCTTTCATTCTTTGTCCAAATTGGACAAGGCGGACGGGAAATGCCAAGTAGACACATTAGTTTACTCCATGGGAGCCGAAGCCGATCCTATCTTTGAGTCTCTATCTCTCGCCGCGGATGATAAGAGGAAATTCGACAAGGTCCTGAAGGCCTTTGACCAGTATTTTCGCCCAGGTGTAAACGTAATCCACCAACGGACATTGTTTGAAAGGTGTGTCCAGAACCCAGGTGAATCCGTGGAGGAGTATGTGCGTCGTCTCCGTGCAGCGGCCAAGTACTGCGAGTTTTACAAGCCCGATGAGCGTATCCGCGCCAGGTTGGTGGCCCATATCCGCCATGTTTGCCATCCATGGCACCCTCATGTCCTTGTGTCGGACAACGGTCCACAGTTCGCAAGTGCTGAATTCATCGCATTCACAGCCCAAATGCAACCCACCCATCGCACCAGTAGCCCGCACTACCCAGAGAGCAACGGTGAAGCGGAGCGAGCGGTTCGAACCTTCAAGCGTCTCCTGAAGACCAACAGCAGCCTCAACGATGCCTTACTCAGTTACAGGTCAACACCCCTCGCAAATGGCTACTCACCAGCCGAGCTCCTGTTTGGTCGTCGTCTACGCACACACCTCCCATGTACAGCGGAATCCCTCGCTCCAAGTTGGCCCGATATTGCCAAGCTAAGGAAGTTCGAGGTGAGGCAGAAAGACAGACAGAGTGAGACGTACGACTCGTCACACCGAACACAATCCCTGCCACTATTGACCCAAGGAGACCGAGTCTGGGTGCAAGATCTCGCTTCCGAAGCCGTGGTTGCAGACCTCGTCTCCGACAGGTTCTATTGTCACGACCGACAACCTGTCCGAGTACCGCCGCAACCGTTGTCACGTCAAGCTATCACCCGATGTGCAACCAATACCACCGCAGTTGAATGCTACTGCACCTGCAGAACCTCCATCCGCTGATGTCGAGTTCCAGTCTACCTTGCGCCGATCAGCACGTCCATCCCGGCCGTTGAACAGACTCGACCTGTAAACAATTACTCATGCTATGATCACTCCAGTCGCTGACACTGAGGATTGTGAACTGCATGTCGTATTTGTCTGTCTCTACTCTATCTCCTCTGTATGTGCATGACTAAGTATTCTTCGAGCTGTTACCTCTGTAACCTCTCTCTCTTCGATTATTAAAAGGGAGATGTTGTGGTTCCGTTGTTGTACCCGATCCGTTCCGGGATCGGTTATCCCTATGCATTCCCGTACTGTGTACATTATATGGATCCTGGTTGTGCATCTTTATCTTTCCTTGTTCTATGTAAATGAGAGAGCTTGGAAGCTCAGGGCCCTACGCTATGCTTTTTTGCCTAGCGAGAGTCAACTTTCTCTTTGCATTCAAGGGTAATACGACACCGTCTACCACCTTGATGACCTAGGCAAAAAAAAGCATAGGGATGTTATACATTTTTCATTTCTCCTTTTTTTTTAAGACATAACCTAGGATTCGAACCCGAACTATCGCCCTGCATGCATTCCCCCGATACACTTCGCATACATATTACTCATTCTTCCAAGTTACTTCACGTTATGATCTTGCATTTGAAAGCCCTATTTGAATATTGTGGCCAGCTGTCTTTGATGGTACGGTACGATACAGGTACGGGATAGCGCCAGGCATGTCGATGCTGTCCTTGATGGTACGGTACGGGACAGGTACAGGATAGCGCCAGGCATGCCGATGGCACAAACAAACAAACACGGAATTAAAGCTGTGTGGACCCTGGCTAGCGCCAGACGTTACTGACGTAACGTCTTTTGCATAGCTACGGGAATAAACTTTAGTTGTTGTCTGGGACTTGTGGAGTGAAGTTGATCTATGGAGTGCAGGAACTAACTTGATGTTCACTCAGAAACAAGGACGGTCCGGGGACCCTAGCGGCTCGGGCAGAGGATCGTACTGACTGGAAAGATCTCCTTACGGCGGTCTGCAATCGCAGCAAAAAATAAATAAAAGGCTAAAACTCCAAATGATATTTCCTGCTGGTACAGCTTTTTCAAAGGATTGGGAGAACTTCAAATTCCAAGGATCAGTCGGGGAAGTGAACTGCCTGAACAGAGAAAAAAATGCCACCCCCACCAGGACTCGAACCCGGGACCCTGCTTGTCATGAGCAATGCTCTAAACATCTAAGCCATGGGACCAGGCCGAATCTAGAAGGCGCTGACAAGGTCCCATGTGGTCCCATAGCTCAGATGGTTTGTGCATTGCTGGTACAGTGTCAATACATAATTCTGATTACCCTTTATTGCTATGTGCGACAGAGGTGTCGATCATAGTATTAGTAAATGATATTAAAATATCATTGTAATAAAAACACAATTGATGACTAACATCATTTCTGTGTGAATAGTTGGACTGCATTGGGCAAAGTCCCGATAGCCTATGAACCATCTACAGTGTTACTACCTGACTATTTCTGGCAATAAAAGTGGCAAACAATAATAACTTATTCCTCTGAACACTTTACGGATATCATGTTGCTCAATACCTATCAACCTCTGAGCCTCATCGATATGAAACCTGACCCAGCGCAATTGTTTTTGCCACTCTGCTTCTATCGTGCCATTCTTAGTCTCCAAAGATTTGAGCCATTGGGAGGAGGTGCTTTTCGGTTCTCTCAACTGCGTTCCCGGGCCTTATTAAATAGCGCGAAATTGTTGCTGCCCGTAGATATGCGGGTCATGTGTCACCTGGTCCGTGCCGGCCTGACCGAGCAAACGCACGCACACACACACACACACACACACACACACACACACACACACACACACACACACACACACACACGTACGTACGCACGCACGCACGCACGCACACACACACACAAGCGTGGAGGACCCTGGCTAGCGCCAGACGCTACTGTCATGACCCGGATCAGACTCGTCGTGAAAGCGACCACGCATTGAGTTCAGCAGCCAAAAGCTGGGCTCCGAGAAACTTCAAGAGTTCTGTAAGAACCATGATTAGTCCTGCGAAGGATTTGGCACTTTCGTTAGTTGAGCGATCATGGCTTACAACCCGTTGCCTAGAGCCGCAAAGTGTGGTCGTATGTCGGCCACACCCTCAGTACAAGTCGTCAGCATTGTACTCACTACACTTTTAGGCTTAAGGTGACCACGCTTAGTCCTGCAAGGGAGCTGATGCCTTCGTTAGTTGAGCAAGAGTGGCGCCTCTTCTCGTGTCGTAAGACGCAAAGGGTCGACAGCACTTCGCGTACTCTAGACCCCAGGCCCGTTGGAGGGAACACGGCATTGCCGTCTGCTGCTATGTTTGGGGAAGAGCCTATATTGGGTGAAGCCACAAGGACGACACAGCTACGCTTTCCGCCTGCTGCAATGCATCCCAGCCACCGGATCGCGGATCAAGATCATGCCAGCATTTGGAGATCACTAATATTCACATTTAGGTGAGCGGGCTCCCCGTATTGATCTTTGTACTATATTCTAGTTTGGCTGATTGCATATATTGCACCACTGTTTGAAATATAGAAATAATCCTTACGTATTATTGCCGCTGTATACTTTTGATCACAGAATGTAGCATATATAAGGAGCTGTTTTGCTAACATTCATCCTCGACTCTCGGGGAGCTCACTACTCCTCCGACTCTCTCCTGCTTTGGGTCTTTGACTCTTCACGCTTGATCTTTCGATTTAGCATTGCAATGGTTCAATAACACTGTTCAAGTGGAATTAGAAACCTGTTGTTCTGTGTGAGCTAGCAAACTTGGATGGCGACTATATTGGTCGTCTACCTGGGTAGCCACTAGACTGATCTAAGCCAAGTCACAAACCCGCCAACGCGCGGCCATGACACTACTATGTAACGTATTTTGCATAGCTGTGGGAATAAACCTCTTCCTCAAACTATGTTGGCAGCACTCACCTTACCATAGGCCAGCACTTGATCAAATACTGCAGTTGACCTAGCATTCGTCGGCATCATTGTGACATTCAAGCCCACCGGAAGGGCGTTGATGACACGGACACGAGAAACAGAACTGGCTGGATGGGCGTCTGTGGCAGCCTATGACACATGCACACACCCACACACACACACACACACACACACACACACACACACACACACACACACACACACACACACACACACACACACACACACACACACACACACACACACACACACACACACACACACACATGCACACACACACACACACACCCACACACACCCACACACAGCCACAGGCACACACAAATGTGACACACCGGGCGTGAGGGCACGTTCCACTCTTGATCTTGATTCAATGCAACGGGGATTGTTGAAAACCTACCTCCAGGCGTATCTGCACAAACGCGGCTATAACGAATGAGAGGGCAGCCAGTAGCATACCAGATGACATTCTTTGAAGAGGTCTGAACAAACAAAGCATACACATGCAACAGGCACATACACACATGACACTGGACAATCCTTGTCATACAGACGGACTTCATGCCCACCCCAAGTTCCAATGAACTATGCTTGAAAGGTGCTGAACCAGACACAGTACGCGGCTTCTGTATATACTTACCTGCCACATGCATCTTATTTTAAATTCCCCGTCCCTCCCAATAGAACCTCTGCCCTACCGTAAAAGCCCGCATTAACGCCAACCCAGCAGAACACTAGCTGCCCGTGTGCACGCCCGGGTACAGGGTGTCAACACTCTTGTCCCATTTTCTAGCCCACCTCCGTGTGAACGCCCATGGGCGAAAGCGCAGGCCCAGTACATAGTGCAGTGCATGCACAGCTCCCACATTGACGCCCATGTTCTGGACCTTCACTAACGTTTCCGCGCAGGGCCTTATTACGGGCTTTTACGGTATTCCAAAACCATTGGGCCATGATTTGCCAGCTGCTTCCATGCATTACATTGACTCAGGTAGCCCGCACTCCTACCGAATACAGCTGGATCAAGACAGTGATTGCTCTACAAACTAAACCAGGGTCAGCACTATACAAATGATGGTTCAAAGTCATGAAAAGGGGTATTCCAAGCAACCAGCTGTACAGTGTATCATGCATTATGTAATACTAACATTCTGCACTGATAATTTTAAGATGATGACAATCGTCCCTGGGAAACCAAAGTTAGTTACGTCCAATTCAAGGTAAAAAAATTGAGGGTACAATTCTCCATATACATTGAGATCAGTTGATTTTAAGGGTTAAACGCGACAAGTTTCTCACCTCATTGGCAAGTGACACCGCCGCAGCACTGGATAGATGATGAAGTCGAAGAGCGGGATGAACAGCAGAATCATGGCGCTGTTCGCACTCTGCAGGGGATCGCCGCCACAGTCAAATCCAACAGGTCATTGGGGGAGATGGGGGAGGTGGGGGAGATGGGGGAGGTGGGGGTTACTAGTACACAGCAGAATGTCAATTAGAACAGTACACTAGCCTCAGGTACTGTAAATATACAAATTTTTTCGGCAGCTATTTAATTTCGGCTATATTCGGCACCGACCCAAAACGCCTAAATTAAAACGCCGATGAAACTTTTCACAGCACCTGTCGCACTATGCTATGCCCTCTACCCCACGCCGAAAATAAATCGCCGCCGAAATGTCAAAAATCGTGAAGTGCCGAAATTTTGCAGCGCCGGAATTTTGTATATTTACAGTATACTGTAAAACATTCAATTTTCGGTGTAACTTTAATTTCGGTGATTTCGGTAGAGAAACCAGACACCTAAATTTTAATGACACCTAAAAAGCACTAGAGTAAGCACTGACTGTATGTGAAGGGAACGCTGGTCACCTAATTCTAAATTATACCTGAAACCTGGCAGGTCCCGGGCACTGACATTTTAATGCACCTAAAATTACATGTTTTACAGTAGTTCAACTCGATAAGTAGCTTACACAGAAGCACACATGTGCTCACATGCCATCACGGCATGACACTTATACCATGACGGGTTTTAACAACAACAACTCGGTCTGGAAGGACAAGCCCATTCCACCTCGGCACAACCAGTGCCAGTCAGAGCCTACCGTCTAGTTTGCTGAAATCCGATTGTATTATTTTATCTTTGAACCCAGAGAGATCATGTGCGACCCAACTCATCCAAAAATGTAAATGCACACACGTATATCAAGCTTCACTGGGTCACCGAGGTCAAATTGACACTAATTCTAACCGGATGTGAAAGCGACGTTCACTGTTAGGCCAGAACTAACCTGCATTAGGTCCGGCTCAATAACTATGCCACCCTGCAGTAATCAAGCAACACATAAAGCACATTGATCTTGAACCTACAAACTGAATAGAGGTTGCATGAATGAGATCCTCATCTCATTTGCTTTGTACGCCGAGGAAACCAGTGCTAGTTTGTATAGAGTGCCAAGCAGTGCTAGGTTGTATGGAGTTCCAAGCAGTGATAAATCATTGCCAGTCCCTATGCTAGTTTGGTATTGAGAGTGGAAAACAGTGCTAGTCTATATGGAGACCCGAATGGCAAAGTATGGTACGGAGTAGCAAGCCAGTACTTGTGCCACTGCTTTGTCATTCCATATTAAAAAGCATCTCAAATGATGACGTAATTACATAACCTCTACAACCTGCATGCACGCATATATGCACGCAATTTCTACAAATGAACCATAGGACGAAGAAAAGGTAACGACTTCGGCGACAATTTGAGGAATTGTGTGTTGCTACGTACATGGGAGCTTGCAAGAAAAGCTAGAGCTCCCATGTAGGGAGCAGCAGCACATAATTCTTGAGGCTTCGGAGTTCTACAAAAAAAGCTTACGGATTCACACATGAAGAGGAGGTCAAGCCTAGTGCTACCCTTTCCTAAGTCATCCTTACCATGGCAGGCTGCTAAACACTCTCTAATCCCTAGTGACTAATAGCAGATGCATGCATCCCAACAGCCATACTTGCGACACTGTATGAAAACACCAGAGATATGCTGGAAGGGTGGTTCCAAAGTGACAAGAAACCACCCTTCTAAAGGGATAACGTAGTGTTGACAGGTCACACTCCCCACTAGTCAAGACCACTTGAATCACAGCATGCACAGCAAAAAAGGCAGAGCTATGTTATCAAAGCCTTCTCACAGAACACAATGAATCACGTGCAATGGCGTATGTGACAGACTTACAATTCTGCCATTCATACGCTTCGCCTGGAGAGTCCACCGGGAACCCTAAAATACCAATATACGTACATGGACATGTTTATCACGAAAAGAAGGAGGAAGAGGAGGAGGAGAAGGAGGAGGAGAAGGAGGAGGAGAAGGAGGAGAATGAGGAGGAGAATGAGGAGGAGAATGAGGAGGAGAAGGAGGAGAAGGAGGAGGAGAAGGAGGAGGAGAAGGAGGAGGAGGAGGAGGAGGAGGAGGAGGAGGAGGAGGAGGAGAAGGAGAAGGAGGAGAAGGAGGAGGAGAAGGATGAGGATGAGGAGGAGGAGAGAAACGGGAACCGGTAGACACCCAGAACTCCTTGTAAAAAAATGATTACATGACAGAACAATGCACCAATTCTGGAACACCCGAGCCCATGTCCATGTGCATACCCATCAGTGATGTAAGGAATATTCGAATTATTCGAATATTCTAGAATACCAACACCAGAAAGAGTATTCGAATGCAGGCAGCAGTATTCGATTTTTCGAAAATTCGAAAAATCGGCACTTTTTTGGTTATGTTTAATATTTAGCTCCAACCTTGATCTCCTGAACAGTATTGATGATGACAGTATCGAAATTATATTATGAGAACTGTGAATCTTGTTCTTGGGTAAAATCTGCTCTGTAAGCAGTGGGAATGTGATCTGTATGCAACATGAATGTTGAGTCTGATGGAGTGAAGTGATCGACGCACATCACAAGAATAATAGAATATTCGTTCGTTCGTCAAAGCAATATTCGAGAGAATATTCGTTCGAAAAAAACACCATTCGTTACATCACTAATACCCATGCATGGGATGGGGGGGGGGGGAAGGAGTACAAGTATATACGACTTATGAGCGGTGCTAGATATGTGTGTGCACATATGTGAGGTTGTACTGGTAAAGGAGAATAACATAACAGCTTGCCTTAAAACAGGCAGGCATAGTGGGATGGTCTAAGACCATGATTGAGAAACAGAGGGTACCAGGTTCAAGTCCTGCTTGGAAGCGGAAGGAATTTTTCCAGCCGTGCTGCGACCCACAATTAATTGGGAACTCGTGGCCTGGCACGAGGGTAACATGGATGCAGCTAATGGGATTTCGGTCTTTGACCACTTGGTGGTGGGTCTGATCTACTCACCTCCCACCGTTTAGGCGCTGCATCTGCGCCTTTAATCCTAGAGGGTGGTGGCGTTCCCACGGCGGATGGGGAAAACTCGGCTTCCAGCCGAGTCTCACGCGAACCGTGAAATTTATTTATTATTATGTTTGCCTTAAAAATAGTCTTACCGTCTGATCGAACAGTGTCCAGAAGATAGGCACCGGCAGCAAGAGGAAAATTACGCGCAATGCATCACGGACATCGTCTAAAAACTGTCGCTGCAAGATTAAATTCAAATAGGGAAGAAAGGCAGAAGCATAGAAAGCCTGTCAGTGAGGCTTGGCAGCAGGTCATCAGTACCAACATGACTCTACAAACTGAATATCACAATGTCAGTAGTGTACACGTACACGGTATCCAGTGCTCAATCAATGCAGAATGTACAACGCTAGATTATGCCCCTGCTGTATAGGATAACAAACAGTGGCAGACCATGGGGTTTGGCAGGTATAAGCCCATTGCGCGTCGTCAAATAATTGTCAAATACGCAAGGCACGAGCAGTGCATGTGCGTACGCTGGGATCAGGGATGCACTGTTCAACACCCCACACAACCATCCCCAGGCGGCTGTGTGGGGTGTCAGTGTTACAAACTACGCCATTACGCAATGAGCTTATTTGAATGGCCAAGCTGACACTCGTTAGCAGTCACGTACCTCGAATCTACTCTCCGCCCAGTATAACCAGTGCTCCTTCTTCTCTGGGCCGGAGCGATTGGAAACACGTTGTCTAATGGCAAGCTGAAATGGGAGAAACCAATGAGGGAGAGAGAAGCAGAGAGAGAGAGGAAATAGAGGGGAGAGAGAATCGGAGGGATGCAGGCATGTACAAGCTATGCGTTCAGCTCGACACAACCACATTTGGACAAGCAATTGGTAACGCTGAAATTCCACGCCACTGTTTTTCAGAGCGACTGAAGTCTGTGCGGTGCTCCTAACACCACGCTACTACAACTGCAGCTAGTCAGATTTGTGTTACTAGAAGCAGCAGCAAATAGCCCATGATGGGAATTTCTTTCCAAATTGATTGTATTATGCTGTACGTGACGACCACTTTGGTCAGTAAATGTTTCCCATGTGGTGCAATTTGGCATCATGCGTAGATCATTGAATGGGAAGTGCATTACTTCCCCATGCTACTTACAACAATGGCCTTCACCACCTTGGGGATGAGACTTTGCGTTGGCTTGCGTTTGATGTAGTACCGGTTCCCAGCAATAAATATACCTAAACAGTGGTTATAAAATAAACAACGATGACAAGCCAAACGCTAGAGGTAGAAATACAGACTTTCTACTGATCTTGAGGAAGTCCTATACAATCGACTCTCGATAAAACGAACACCATTGTGCAGGGAAATTAGTTCTTTATAATCCGAGTTCTTTATCTCTTTAATAGTCTGTCAAAGCCTACATATCGCGGCTGCTTGTTAGTTTTACGTGATTTTGAGTCTTTAACCCATTTTAATATGGAGGCCGATAGCGCATAAAATGCCTGATTTTTCGTCCAGGAATTGCTTTAGACAGAGAAATATTCAAAAGACCTCGCCATTTTCCATCTCCAATCAGCTTGGTTTACCCTGACTTTTTGGATTTTTGGCTTTGCCCTGCACTCATCTCCACGTACAGTAGATACCGACCGACAACTGCTTCGTTTTGTCTCCTGGCGCGTGGAGACATCTGTTTTCTTCTCCTTGGGACGTTCGCCATGCAGAATTTGACCCAACAATTGTGCCCCAGACCTTAATTAAATCGTTACTGCAAGAAGTATGCCAAGTCGGTGGCAAAGGTTTTTATGTTGCAATCAGTCCGCCAGATATGGTGCGGGAAAAACTAGAACTGGGCAAATTTGGCGGGAATGCTATGGAGTGGCAACATTTCTCCGGTGTATTCCGGTCCATAATCCACTCCAATAGTGGCTTGACGGACACGGACAAATTCACGTATTTACGTAGCAGTGCGTATGGAGCGGCAGAAGCTGTGATTGCCGATTGGAATCACTCTCCGTTTCTGCTCTCCTTGTAGTTAGTTGTGCTTTTCCGTGTCTGATACTGTTCCCCTTTTGCAATGAAGATTCTGGCGAAACTACTCTCAGTGGCTACTGCTACACGGCGCAGTGAACAGGATCAGTGAAAAAATAGCATTGATCCGCAACGAACCTGTTCAGGATGGCTCGATTCCAGCAACCGGGAACCTTTGATTTTTCCGATCCGACTCAATGGGGCGACTGGCCGGAGTGATTCCGCCAGTTCCGAAAAGTCACAAAACTCTACAAAGGCGATGAAGATGTACAGGTCGCAACTCTCCTGTATACGATGGGTCCTCAGGCGACCACTGTGTTCAAGCAGTTGACGTTCGACAACGCCGGCGATCGAGATAAGTATCAGGAAGTGGAGACGAAACTCTCGGCGTACTTCAAGCCCGTGTCCAACGTCGTCCACAAATGAACGATGTTCGAACGTGCCACACAGTCGCCATCCGAGACCGTGGGCGAGTTTCTGCGTAGTCTCCACCGCATCGCAGACAAATGTGACTTCAAGGACGCTCGCGATGACTGCATCCGCGATCGCTTCATGGCAAGCCTAGTGAATAGGGAACTCACCCTTGAGCTGCAGCTGCTAGACAAGCCAGACCTGGCCAAGGTTGCTATGCACGCCAGGAACTACGAGCAGGTGCACCGACAGGTGGCGGCACAGCGCCACCGGCGATGAGCACGGTGGAGGAAACTTCAAGTTGAGCGTATAGATTGCCAACATACTAGCATCTAGCGCAATGCACAACACCATTTCACTGCGCATATTCGAGGAGAAGGATACTCCAGCCAATCTGAAGACCGCTCTTGGCCAGTATGCACAACAAATTGAGCATCTGGAAAGCACTTCATGGCACGGCAGGCAGCTGAGAGTGCACATGTTCGGAGATTATGAGTTTCAAACAATGAACTTCGCGTTCTCAAGGTTTGGAGGACCACATCCATGCTTGCACTGTTCGTGTCCGAAGAAGGCGATGGCCAACCCAAGCGATGACAGAACAGATGCGCAGCGACAGGCACGCACACATCCACTCTTCCTGATTTTAATTCTCAACGTGGACTGATGAAGGGGCTGGGCAGTGCTGAACACAGTGATCCTCTGTTTATATTCAAGCTGTTTGTTGGTGATGACACGCTCAGGAGTACCTGCAACCAAGCGAATCTCTCCATCAGCCAGTGATATTTACTTTTCTAGGATGTAACGTATTTTGCGGACTATAAGCCGCACTGAAGTACCTAGAAGGCAGTTCACAACATGTGCCACACATACTGATGGCACCTGGGTCTTTTTTCCCTCCCCCAGGGGACCACCCACAGCCAGTTTCTGGAACGCACTACCAGAGGTGAAAGAAAGTGATCTGCCTTTGGAGTGAAAAACTTGTCAGCGCATTCTACGAGTAGGTTTGGCCTGGTCCCATAGGTCAGATGTATAGAGCATTGCATTTCCCCGACTGATCCTTTGAATTTAAAAAGTTCTCCCAATCCTTTTTTAAAAATTAACCATACAAGTGGTTCGCTATATCACAAAATTCACTATTACTTATGCGAGTTCGTTGTGGAGTCGACTGTAGACCTGCACCCCCCCCCCCCCCCCCTCCCTCCTCCGCCTTCTAAGCGGCACAAAATTAGATTTCCTCCATGCCACATCCGACTCCACTGTCACACTGAGTATGCTTGGTGCTGGCCGAAGCATATGTCATCACGTAGCAGCCCAGCCCCCACACACATTATGTAGAGGTGATTAATGACCAAGCCAGGCAGTTTAAAAGGATTAAGTAGATAACCAACCCATTCAGTAAAAGCCACAGTAGGAACTGGACGTTTCCCTTTGGCGAGAAGGTAGAATTGCCTGTGCTTTATACAAATTTAAATAAAAAGAAACCAACAAACAAACCCACCAATAGTGATGAGCATCAAGATGGCAGGGAGACCGAATGCATACAGGTAGCAGTCGTCGTGGAAGCAGGTTGTGTAGCCTGTGTGGAATATACACATGTACACACATACCCCCCCCCCCCACACACACACAAACACACACACACACACACAAACACACACACAAACACAGACTCAGTGACGGAGGTTGTGAACCTGTCGGAGAAGCATGCAAAACATACACATGTACAGTCAACTTCGCTAATAACGACTTCGGATATACCGACAATTCGCGAATAACGACAGAATTTCCATGCCCAGAGCAAAGTCCCATCCAACTGTAATACATATAATGGGACTTCGGGTGTAACGACACTTCGCGAATAAGGACACTTTTCTGATGCCCCGCCGAATGTCGTTATAAGCGAAGTTGACTGTACACACACATACACACCCACCCACACACCACACACGCACGCACGCGCACACACACACACACACACACACACACACACACACACACACACACACACACACACACAAACACACATGGACATAGACTCAGTCACAGACGGTGTGAACCTGTCGGAGAAGCATGCAAAACGCCAGCATGCAACACACACCCCACAACCTATACCCAACGGCAAGAGTTCAGGTGCAAATACACGAACCAGCAGCATGCTACTACAATAACACCTGTCAATGTGACCCCTCTGATAAGGCAACCACGTGTCCGAGAGGACCACTACAACTACAGGACCAAGGGATGTTATTTCCAGTCAAATGGCCCTGGATCAGAAGACCACCTGAGCACTGGGATCGCATTTGTAAGGTTCCTCGAGAGGCCGCCTTTGGCAGGTTTCACTGCGTTGCTCTTTTACATTTTTTAAGCTTCTCCACATTGGCATAAGTGGTCAGCAACGCTGCCACATAATGCCTTTGCACATGCAAGATGAAGTGTAGGCCGATTCAGTTCCCTGATACGGGAAAGTGTGAAAAAAAGAGTACGGCAACAGCCGTGCAGAAAGGGTTGACCTGAAGTCTACGTTTCCGCCTCAAAAAGCATGCAACGCCTTTCCTCGAACGCGAACTTCATAAAAACCTGCATGAATCAGTTTTCACATAAGAACCTTGACTACTGGTCGGAGTGCTCCATACACGAATTGAGTTATATCTTATTTATTGTTGTTCCACTGGATTTTCGTTTGCACATCAGTTTTAAAAGGACACGGAGGAAGGCAAGGAGTCACATGTACTGGACACCATAAGGCCGTAAGTAGTTTACCTCTCAAAATGGGTGAAACAATTGACGTCAAACTGCCAGCATTGATAGAGAAGTAGAAGACGGAGAAGTAGCGAGGAATGAGGTGGCTCTGCGCATCGGGAACCCAAGAAACGGAGAGAACAAACGTGTCAGACGCGGCACTCTACACTTCAGCGTGTCGAGTCCAGTAAAACAAGTAAAGACTCTTGGTCAATCTGGCCTCCAAACTAACTCCCACAGGCAAATGATTGAAATTATTGATCCTACCTGATCATCTCTGAATTGATCGCCGCCGAATGATGACACACAAGGCTTGATGCCCCCAGTACCAATGGCTACCAGGAGCAATCCAATAAGTGGGACAACCCTATAGTGGCACGAGGACAGAAGCAGACAATACATCCATGTGTCCCAACACTCCCAACCTTACCAGAAAAAGATACTACATAGTCTACTCCACCTAGCAGACTATATTCCGACCATTGATCAGTTTATATATTTAAGAGAAGGAGATTGTGTTTTTTAAAGCCAGCGGGGAGTCCCTTGTTCAATTTCAAACTCCTAGCGTATCACCAAAACGATAAAACCAAAATGATACACGTTCTCCTGCACCATTATTGATGTTCTGCTCTACGTTACGGGAACGCGGCGCGAAGAATCCCGGGAACTCTCTTTGCTTTCCCGTAACGTGGAGGAAACCTGTTCTGCAACGCTCACGTAGAGAAATCAAGTGGAATGTGTACTGGGAATTCCCCCCTCCACGTTTGGCAGTTTTCTGCCTGCATTTGAATGATACCCAGCAGATCTGCACGCATGTTCTTTGCGTGTGCCAAAACGTAGAGAACTTCATCCACGTATGGAAATCTTGACCCAAAACACACGAAGCCGTAGACTCTAATCCAGACTCTATGTGTTTGTAGTGTTATCTTGTATATGTATGTGTACCCATTGTGCATGCCTGTTCTCTTATTTTGTACTCTTCTCTTTATAGATCTAGACTATCCGTTACGGTATCCCTTTGATGATTCATCCCGTATCTAGATGTGCCATGCATTGTAGCGTACCCTCAAGTACTCTACTAGATCCCGATAAGGAGCACCCGCTACTGTCCTTCTGGAGCATGTTTCTTTCACTACTATTTGTGTTCTTGCATGTTAATAATTAGAGATAACACTTTGGTAAATCGACTGCTTGTACTGTTACGATAGTTCTGACGATATTATTTATTTGAATGTATTCTTACTTTGTAGCAGAGTCCAGGCGCGTTGGAATAGTTAGCCGAATTCTCCGCCAAGTTCTAGTTCCCTAGCTTCTCTAAGAATTCTCATTACGGACTTCATTCTAGCTCCGAAGTTGCTCAGGGGCCTTGGTGCACTCGAAGGACGTGTGCCTCCTGGCATCCGCATCGCCATCGTGCCCGAAGCTACCTCGTGTGTTTGTTCAATGTGCTGGTCCCGACGTGAGTGACAGTGAGCGTGCTGCAGCCGTGATAGACACTGGCTCCACTCGCACGTTAGTAACAGAAGCCCTGCTGCATCGCCTTGGTCTCGATGTGACACCACTGACCAATAGTGACAGCACCGTAGTGCTAGATGGCAACACCATGCAGACTTGTGGTACAGTGACCCTCAAGTTCTGGAGGCATGACGGACCAGTGAGTATACATGAAGTGGTCTTGAATGCTGTCGTTGTGCCTGATCTATGTGTAGTGGTCGCCGACGTACTAATTGGCATTGACCTGGTAACTTGTGCGGGCGCCTGTCTGTCGAGTATGCGAACGATCAGCCCGTGTGTGTCGTAATTGGGCCCGGTCCAACCCATGCTGATAGTTGTCCGCCTGTGCCAGTTGCATCGGCAGCTGTGGTGCCTCCCGAACAGTCTACATGTGTGCAAGTGTCTGAGGATCAGCTGACCGACGGTATGGCTCCAAGTGCTGACAACGATGAAGTTCTCCAGCCAGTCGCCGCTGACTCGCCAATGCCTGCAGCTCCGGCGCGCCTGCCTTCAAGTTGCCTCATCATGTCCAAGTAGAGACGGACGGCAACGATGTCATCCTGAAGGTTGACGACGGCGAGATGCGTTGGATGTCGGCTGAGAAGCGTTGGGAGGTCAAATGGCCGAGTTGGTCCGAGTATCAGCGAGTACCTGCGGAAGAAGATGACCGCAGAAGAGGAGACACAATTCTGCTCCGCTGTGGATGAATGGATTGAGCGAGGCTGGCTGGTGAAGCACGACGCTGACACCCATGGTCGCCCAACCTGTGTCTTGCCGTTGATGGCTGTGAGTCAGCCGCACAAGACGTCTACGCCTGTGCGTCCGGTATTAGACTATCGGCACTTGAACAAGTTGTTGGTGTCCCACCCTGGAACTAAGTCGCCTGTGTGCACCGAGACGTTGCGCCAGTGGAGGCGCAAGGGTGAAGCTGACGAGTTTGATTTAGTGGAGTAACATGCACTAATAATGAAAGGGGTTCTTTGCTTCACAACGAGACCGTGATCAGTTAGTTGTTTGGTGTGCTCTCCACACGTAGACAGTACATTGAGAGAACATTACATGGCGGCAGCGCTGGGATTTCCTCTCTGACAGGATGGCGGCAGGCGTTTCCAACAACCCTGTTTCCGCAACTCCCACAACTACCTCTATCACGGTTTCTACAGGTCTAGGCAGTAGTGCTGGCTCGTCAGGAGCTTCAGTTTCGCAGTCCGCAGCAACTGCCTCGAGCGCTGGTCATGCTGCACCCTATGCTATTTCCTCCGCGGCTGGACTTTCTCCTCCCACTGTACCATCTCTGGGTTCCGCGGTACCACAGGCACAGGCACAGGCACAGGTTCCGTTCACGTTTCACGGGTAGCAGAACCTCACTATTATAGACAGGATAAGGACAAGCCGGGCTACTTGTATGTATCTTTCACAGAAGATTACGACATGAACCATGAATACCCATTATTCGCTCAAGTAACTTTACTTGAAGAATGGAACTTGAGCTGATAGATAACCACTCAGTCTTCGGCAACTGGGCTTGAAAGCGCTACATCACGACTGTTGTGAAGGATTTAGAAGAAGCACATGCTGTAGCCTTCCTTTGGTAACGCATCACCCACTGTCTCGCATGCACTTCACGTCTTCTGTGATGCTTCCGAAGTAGCCAATGGCGTAGCTGCACATCTTGTTATCGACAAGGCCCACGAGCGGACATCTCACCTCATCTAGAGTAAGTCCCGTGTCGCTCCAGTAAAGCCATGCTCTATCCCATGCCAGTAAAGCCATGCTCTATCCCATGCCAGTAAAGCCATGCTCTATCCCATGCCAGTAAAGCTATGCTCTATCCCATGCCAGTAAAGCCATGCTCTATCCCATGCCAGTAAAGCTATGCTCTATCCCATGCCAGTAAAGCCATGCTCTATCCCATGCCAGTAAAGCTATGCTCTATCCCATGCCAGTAAAGCCATGCTCTATCCCATGCCAGTAAAGCCATGCTCTATCCCATGCCAGTAAAGCCATGCTCTATCCCATGCCAGTAAAGATATGCTCTATCCCATGCCAGTAAAGCTATGCTCTATCCCATGCCAGTAAAGCTATGCTCTATCCCATGCCAGTAAAGCTATGCTCTATCCCATGCCAGTAAAGCTATGCTCTATCCCATGCCAGTAAAGCTATGCTCTATCCCATGCCAGTAAAGCCATGCTCTATCCCACGCCTCGAGCTGATGGCATTGGCATCTCGACTTGGTGCCCACGTCATCCTACATCTATTTCCGAAAACCTGCTGCGCCTAGCCCTCTCTTACGCTAAGCAGTTTGTGACAATTCCAGACCGTGACGCGGAAATAATCCTGCACGCGAGGCACTCACTCCTATTCGGAACTAACCGAACATGGCAAGAAGCTTCCTTCCGCCTTCTGCTCCACACTCGTGGTGCTGTGGTCTGATTCAACAACCGTTCTTCACTGGTTACAGTCAACAGAGAGAAGTTGCCAGTCTTCGCGCTCAATCGAGCAGCCAATATCCGAGACATCTGCGATCTCCAGTGCCGTCATGTTCATTCCGCCAACAACCCAGCAGATCTACCATCATGAGGAGCACACACCTCATCCCTCCCGGACAACACCCTCTGGTGGCACGGCCCACCCTTCCTGACCCAGCCTCTCCATCTGATCAACCGACCAGTGGCACAATTGAGACTGCCACTGTCAGCATTCAAGAGGGTCCCCAGCATTCAACGGCGCCAGGGTCTTAGCAACCACGTGATAAATAATAAAAAACGGATGCACATCACAAGCAAAAAAGAAGACGTGATGAAACACCTCCATTCGGTGCTGATGTTAAAACTTAAAAAAAGGTTTAATTCGTTCCTGCGCGTGTGTCTCTGGTTTGTGTGCCCGTTTTGACCCCAGTCAAAGCTACCGAGAGTGGCTGCGGCTGGGCCTCTACCCCTCGGCAGACTACTATGGATACGCCATGGGCAGCAGGTACTACCCTGACCAGTTTTGGCAGTGACCAAGTACAAGTGTGCGTGTGTGTGTGTGTGTGTGTGTCCCATATGGTGCAGTGGTATGTGCAGCGATTTCTAATCGAGAGGCTGCGGGTTCGATTCCCGACGATTATGGTCACACACGTCTTTCTTCTCTTTCTCAGACTCCTCCTGACTTTTCTTTCATTCTCCTGGGTGGTTACCAACAGCCAGTGCATGCCGGAGTATGTGGTGTGATGTGTGTGCGGAAAAAATATGAAAAAGACCAAAAAGTAGGGATTCACTGGCCAGAAAAAGCCACTTCATAGCTGTGTGGTGTAGACCAGGCTGAATAGTCGCGGTTAATTCTTCAGCCTTGCAAGCTGTTGAATGGTGCAATCCCAGCACAAGCTGCTATGGCTTCTGCTGTAGCAACGCTATCATCGCCTCCGGCGATGGGCGTCCAATGGTGTGTGTGTGTGCGTGTGTGTGTGTGCGTGCGTGTGCGTGTGTGTATGTGCGTGTGTAGGCCTTTCAACCCACATTACACTGAGTTTGCATCCACTTTTATTCCAATTTCCTGCCCACCTTCCCATTATAATCACAGGTACCCTCCTCATTCTCGTCAATGTTTTGTCTGATGATAGATCAATTACCAGAAAAATCGGAGATACAACTAAACTTGTGTATTTAAAAGTACATGTATGCTGCACCTCAATGAAAGCACGTCTCGGGCGCACCGCAGCCCTTGACCTGTGAACACGGCGATGTGCAATGGAGCAGTGTGCTAACTTTACTCTCGCGATCGGATTTCATCGAGAAGCACCTGTACATGTAGCTAGCAGGGGCGTCGGAAGGTATTCTATATCGGTGCGGCTACGAAAAGGCTAACGAAAAGGCCGTCCGCCTAGGAAAGGTTTTGCCAAATTGGGCCAAAATAGCCTATAATATTATATTATTTGGGGGACTGCCCTGCCTTGCCGTGGAACGTCTCAGTACTCCTTGTCAGTCTGGTGCTACCTTGTGTATGTTCAAAATCTGGTTCAGTTGTTGAACTCTAGCGCATAACGTGTGCCCCGCCATTTTCCTTGTTTCCATTTTAATGTTAAACTTACTGGTGCGGCTTTGGCCGCACCTGCCGCACCGGTTCCAATGCCCCTGGCTAAGAGGTCGAGTTTCCACACTTCACCGGTACACTGGGCACCCCCTCTCTCCGTCCACTTCAACACGGCCAGACTGTACTCACATGACTGCGGTAGTGTTGTGCAGAGGAGCCGATGTTCCCGCCATCAGTATATTTCCGGCCGCATGAACGAGTGACAAATAGACTATGGTTCTGCAAGCACAACGGATCAAGACAAGTAAGCGTGATACATAGCTAGGGACATCCCCCACCCCCTCCCCTGGCAGGGGTGTACTCGCAAGGTTATTATAGGGTGGTACTGTCAGCCATCCGAGGTACAACTTGGGGGGGGGGGGGGGGGGGCTCTGCAGTATTCGAAATGTTGAGCCCAAATCAGTGTATTTCATTGATTCACGGGTACCTGGGGCAAAGAGCGGTACGGTCAATACCGTAGTTACCGTATGGTGTCCGACGCACAGTCTTGGGAGGATTGAAACAAGAAAAAGGATGCCCGAGGGTGAAAACGCAGGCGGAGAAAGGTCATGACATCCGGTGTCAAGACTCCTATAGTGCAGACATGCACAAGCAAAGAGGCAGCCGTACTTGAATTTCCCGAGCCAGCCATCGGCAATCATGGCACCGAATGGGGCTGACGCGTAACATAGCACCACAAACGCATGATAGAGTGCCGTGGCACGGTCATCGCTATACCCCATGTGAGCTGTGAGGTACAGGATCAGTACACCTGGACAGGGAGAGATAGAGAGAGATAGAGAGAGAGAGAGAGAGAGAGAGAGAGAGAGAGAGAGAGAGAGAGAGAGAGAGAGAGAGAGAGATAGAGAGAGAGAGATAGAGAGAGAGATAGAGAGAAGAGAAGAGAGAGAGAGAGTTGACGGAAAACCCGCAAGTTAGCTGCTACAAGAAATTTATGCGGACTTTGATAAGAATAAACGCGGCTGCAAAACACAGCATCACACACCTGGGCTAGTAAGATACAGCATTGTGGTACTTGCATACTACTCCATGCAGCTGAAAATTCACATGCACAAACGCCAGCTACGTGAAGTCCTCACCTTTGAGTCCATAATACGAGAATCGTTCACAGAATTCCGTGCCGAATATGAAGCAAATTGCTTTGGGATACTGACGAATTTGCCGAAAATATTTCTGGTACAAGAAGCAAAAAAGGATGAAATCCAACCAAACAAAGATTGCAACGCATCCTATCTTGGCAATGAGAATCTCCTATACAATGAAAGAAACCCGAGCCCTGGAAAAGACAGGAGTAAAAAAAATGGAGGATATGGGGTTCGAACCCATGGCCTCTCGCATGCAAAGCGAGCGCTCTACCACTGAGCTAAACCCCCTCTGACATAATAAAAGGGCAAAGACGACCTGAATTGGCATAGGGTAACAGACCCTGACCCAGTATTCGATATGATTGTGTACAATGGCAACGTATCCTAATGTGATAGGCCCAGAGAGTGCAGCTTCTGACACTTTTTGCATGGGTGTCTTTCACAGTGAAATTCCAGGATCACATCATATCTGGTGCAGACCTGCGGTGGGAAGTGGCGTAGTGTGTACAACTGAGCTGCAGTTGTGCAGAAAGAGACCCGCTGAATCCTGCTTGTACGCACATCACTAAAATGATGTAATCCCGGAATTTCGCCATGAAAGCAACCCATCAGAGCTGCACACTCTGGGTTTCATGTACTGTTGGTCTCATCCAGAGTACATAACCTGGAGTTCGCAACTTGACAATCCTTTGAGTTCATTTACGGCATCAATCTTTCCCGGCCAATGGGCTCACTACGCCATCATGCATAGCCAGAGATCAAAAGTACAAAAAAACTGCCAGCCTGGACCCTACTAATATACTTCAAGAACCTGCCACGGAATTTCGTATCGAATATGAAACAAATTGCTTTTTGATACTGAAGCATTCGCCGGAATATCTCTTGTACATGAACATCAGGGAATCGTACCCAGACCACTGTACCCAACTGGCTTGGGTACGACTCCCTGATGTCCATGTACAAGAAACCGGCAAGAAATTGGATGAAAAGTTTAAAAAAATAATGGAGGATATGGGGTTCGAACCCATGGCCTCTCGCATGCAAAGCGAGCGCTCTACCACTGAGCTAAACCCCCTGTGACATAAAAAGAAATAATAATAATAATTTGAAACTCGGATGTTGAGCCATAAATAAATGTGGAAGAGAAAAAAACATATGGATACGAGTTAAGAGTAACTCTCCATCACTGTGACATGGTACTATATACAGTCAGAAAGTGCAATAACTAGGCACAAAACTGACAGAGTACTGAAACATTCGACGTCCTGACACCTAGCTTCAACACATCTCCGTAGCGCTAACCGACAGCCTTCCAACTTGGAAGGTTCAAGGTTATGGAAAGACCAAAGAGGGGAAGGCAAGGCGGAAAGAGTTACTCTTAACTCGTATCCATATGTTTTTTTCTCTTCCACAATAATAATAATAATAATAATAATAATTTGAAACTCGGATGTTGAGCCATAAATAAATGTGGAAGAGAAAAGGACATATGGACATATGTTACAGTGATGGAGAGTTACTCTTAACTCGTATCCATATGTCCTTTTCTCTTCCACAATAATAATAATAGTTACAGTTCGCATGTCACTCATGGAAGGATCCATGGGCTTAACGCATCTGTCAACGAAATCCAGGCAGAAGAGCCGACAAAAGGCATCTCATTATTGTTAGAACGTATCGCAGTAAGAACAACTACGCAAGCGCAGTACATTTTTCCACAAGCATCAGCCATTCTTTCTTGTCTAGAGCCAGTTCAAAACAGTCAGAAATATCAATATTGGCGTGCTTTAGATCATTTTTAATATTGTCAATCCATCTGAGATGGGGTCGGCCACGTGGGCGCTTGATGTCCCGGGTATTAATTGCCATCTCTAGTGCTTGGTAGGACGCTGAGTTACGTCCTTCGCGAACAACATGGCCCAGCCAGAGCAGCCGACGTCTGCGACAGGTAGTGCTGACTGGGCCTTGTCGCGTTGAGGCGTACACCTTGGCATTCGACATGCGGTGAGGGTACACCACACCAAGCAGGTCCCGCAATTTTCTGCGGTGCCATGCGTCCAGCCGATTACTGAGTTGCTGTGTCAGGGCCCACAGTCCGCAGTTATACAACAGGATAGGCAAAATGAGGGCAGAGAACATACAATTTTGCCTATAAAAAGAAAGGGGTGGGGCAAAGAAGACACATTGCAGGAATGGATTTGCTTTGGATTGGATTAAAGACAAGTAATTCACGGATCCTATGCTGCGAAGGAGCACCCAACAGTGGACAAAGCTCTCGCTCGTTGCAGAGAATCCATCGACAGTTTTCCAGACATGAGCAAAACTAGCGTTCGGAAAATGTTGCGTTCCATGGGATTCCGGCATGGCAAAACCAGAGGTATCACCCACATAATGATGGAAAGGCCCGGGATTGTGTCATGGTGGCATCGCTACCTGTGAGACATTACAGAAGTTTGTTCTCAAGGCAAGCCAATTGTGTACCTGGATGAGACGTGGATAAGTGCGCACCACACAGTTGCTAGTGTATGTCATGTCAATACGCACCCCAGAGTATATGGAAGCTACACATAGACTGGGACTCTCCGCTGCCTGACGCTCTCATTGATGAATGGAAGGATATCCTGTCAGATCTATCCTGCGCAAGTGACGTTGCCATTCCTCGCTACATTGGATCGAAAATCCACGTCGACAAGGTCCTAGGTTGTACCAATCCCCCTGCGGGTAATAATCTACAAACTTCAGGACCTCCATTGTCGGACTGGGACATTATAATATACGGGCACAATAATAGAGAGATAGACAGCATAAGACAACACTAGCAGGTAGTACGGCAATGGTGACAAGAGTGTAGCCAAGCAACCAAATGAAGCACCATCAGGTAAAGGCAAGTGCGTTATTGTTCTGCATGCTGGTGGACGGGGAGCGGATTCGTGAACAATTGCGCCAAGGTGTTCACTGGCAACACGTCCTCAGTAGACTACCTGTGGTGTCTCTCTCTGTAGTACTAATGTTGCTACTCTGCACTACTTCACTATCTATGTATTGCGCATGCGCACAAGAGCTGCTTGTTCCTTTTGAGTCTGGTCTTCTTCCAAGGCTTTTTCCAATAACAATAATGACTTGATGATGTTTGATCAATGGTTGGAACATAACACTACCACAACGGAATGAATGGCCAACACTTCCAAGAGTGGTGGACAGGCGCTCTGCTTCTGAATTTGAAGGAAGGTTCGGTAATCGTTACGGACAATGCTCCTTACCATACTGTTAAAACTGATGCATCTCGCTGCCAAACGTCCTCAACACGGAAGGCTGATACGCAAGCATGGCTAACGGCAAAAGGGAATACTATGATGCTAAAGCCAGAGCTATACAGACTCATCCAGCTTGGAATAATACAATGCTAAAACCAGAGTTGCACAAGCTCATTCAGCAACACAAGTCACCAGTGGAGCACGTGTGCGACAAGCTAGCGGCAGAGCGTGGGTGTCGTGTAATCCGGCTTCCCACATACCACTGCATTCTCAACCCTATTGAATTGATGTCGGGCTGAATAAAGCGGGAAGTTGGACGACGCAACAAGACTTTCAAGATCAGTGATGTGAAGAACTTGGTGCTGGAAACCATGGGAGAAGTTCCACAGGACCTCTGGCCGAACTCATGTCGCCACTGCGACGAGGAAGTCGACAAAGCCTGGTTAGCCGTTGGGCTTCAGCAGGAGCATGTGGCAAGCATTGTAAACCATGCCCGGGTCGATTTCCAATCCCGCCATTTCCGAGCCTCATCAGCAGAGTGGATGCTGAACAGCAGGATGTTCCAGGAATTGGAGAATCTGTTCCACCCCCTGTGAATCGATCTCTTTGTAGCACGTCACAATCATCAGTTGTGCCGCTACATCAGTTGGCAGTTCAACCCATGGTGTCGGTGATACTGCCTTGCAGTGGTTCTGCAGCAATCTTTCGCACAGGAAGCAACGTGTGGTCACCAAGACCCAGCAAGGCCTGACATACAGCAGCAACAGGGGGTTCCGCAAGGCTCCGTCTTGGGGCTCTCTTCAATCTGTCGGTCGGAAAGCTCCCCTCTGTACCCCAGCACTGCAAGGCTCGACAGTACGCAGACGATGTCTCCCTTTACAATGCTGGCAAGAATGTTAAACAGTTGTGCAAGGAGCTGACAGAAGACATTGTCACAGTGAAAGAGTTTTTGGCGACCATAGGCTTACTGCTGAACCCTTCCAAGACCCAGTTTGTCGTATTCAAGTCAAAGTGCAAGTCCCTTGACCCTCGCGTCGCTCTACAACTGGGTGAGGTCACAATTAGCCAGTGTGCACACATTCGATACCTTGGCATTGTACTTGACGAACATCTCTCCTTTGGAGAGCACATTCGGCAACTAGAGCGGAAAGTTGGAAGTGAGTTAGGCATGTTCAGGAAAGTCCGAAATCACATGACGGTAACTGCAAAGCGTGCATTTTATATTTGTTCAATTCAGACAGTACTTGAGTATGGTAGTAACTCATTTGCTCATTGCTTGTCAGTCACTCTTCATGATCGTCTAGTCCGTCTTAGTAAAGCCTAGTTCATATTCGACGCAACGCTGACGGTACAGGACGTAAGGGCCTGTCGGGAAGGCTGCGGTGAGCTGTACGATTCGTACGACACGACGTGCAGCAGTCGTTGCGATGTTCAACGTCGAACGGCGCGAGTCATAAGGCACGGTCCGTGACGGGGTGACTTTCGGACCTAATTTCTCGTTTTTTGGGACTTCTTTTCAATTATTTCTCCTTGAAAGAAGCGGAATCAAGTTCACAATACCAGTTTTTCACGAAGACCAAAAAATTAGGCCTGAACGAGTTGTGGCATTCAAAAATAGCCCCCGGAAATGATAGAATAGTTCGTCTGTCACGCTCCTAAACTATCCCTAAATACAATAAGTGATAAGAGATCTTATCTTGCTGAAATTCAACTCAAGTCGTGCTGGCCATTCTGTGAGTTATCATGGGAAGTGCAGTGTTCGAGATGCTAACAATTTCCAAGTACGCATCGGGAGTAGTCAGCGCACGATGCCGTCCCCTGTTCACACTCAAATTTCAGCCGTTTTGTACGATTGCGTCCCCGCCTACGCCCGTCTACGGTATGAAAAGTTGAATCGATCCAACAACTCTTCCCGTCGTTTCCCGATCTGTACGGTAGTACGGTTGCGTTCCCGTTCCTGATGTTCACATTGGACGCCGTCAGACCGCCCCGTCGCTTCCCGTCGATCCTTACGTCGCGTCCCGTCGAATGTGAACTAGGCTTAATAGAGTTCTACGCATTGTGTTCAGTATGCCTCGTTTTCTGATGTATCCCTTATTAATGCACGCCATCACATTCTCCCTTTGTCTGTGCGCTATCAGTTCAAACTCTATATCCTAGTGTATCGTGTCCTGAATCAGTTCACTACTACTCTCCTTACTGATTGCTTTTGCCTTCGTTCTAATTCTACTCGTACCAATTCCTGCACTCACTCTTAGGTATCTTCATCTGTCACTCTACCACGAGCTAAAACTCGTTTTGGTCTCTTTTCAGTTTCTTTCATCAGTTCCGACCGGTGGAATGCACTCCCTGCTGCAGTCCGCTTATGCTCTTCACTGCACATAATCCGTAATTCAGTACTTTCACTTCCAGGGTACATTGTAAGTAGGCCTTAGGCCTGTGGGGATTGCCCTATCAAAAATTTGATAACAATAAATTAGTCGGTCAGTGTCGTGCAGTGTTATCGCATGCGCTGATTGTTTAGTAACTGGTGGTGTTAGTGGACAGTATAGCGTAACTTGTAGTTCCTTGGTCTTTCTCTTTTGTATAAAATAAATTAATAATAATAATAAATTATGATAACCCTCATCCAGACCACATTTCCAGACAGGACTTTCAACTGGTACCTTCGATTGCTCAATCACGACTAACCATCCAAATAAAATTACAAAATGCAATACAATACAAAGTTTCCTCTGAGACAAACTGTTCTTCTCCTCTTCTGTTCTTTGCCTGTACATCACCTGAGGAGATGGCACGAAAGTTCGCTTGTGAAACTTTATCAAAATGCTGGCGTTGAAGAACCTGAAGTATGTGCTCTTTCTTAGCGTTCTAACAATACGAAGTTTTTAATAAAATAATGATATACAAAAAAAACTTTAAAGACCATCCAACATTTTCCAAAAAATAATTTCAACTTGCCCTCTTTTTATTTTATTTTTACGATAAAGGCATTCTAACATCACATGTACATATACCGTATATTCTCTATTATAAGCGCCGTGCTTATATTTTTTCAACACCTCTCTACCCCGTGCTTATATTGGAGACCGCGCTTATATTGGAGACTGCGCTTATATTTCTTCAACCAATACAATCCATACAGAGCAAGAAGAAATACATGCTAGATATCATGCATGCAGCATTGATTTCCACCAAGACCGTGCTTATAATAGAGACTGTGCTTATAATGTTTCGAAAGGTGCTCACAGTGTGCTAGTATTAGAGACTGTGCTAGTAATGGAGACCTGTGCTTATAATAGAGAATATACGGTACTCACGAATACACGACCCCATGCTCTGCCGCTGATCTTGGGCTCGGCTGGATCAAATGCCGCCGCTGACCCTTTATTTCCTGTAGCAGTGCAGTGGACAGTGAAAAGGCACATGCACAGTAATAACCGTCACAACCTCAGACCACTGGAAAAACTCTATGGCTGACATGCAAAATAACTAGTAAAATACCGTTGTTACATGCCACATATGCATAGAGAAGCGCGAACTCGCTCAACTACTGCCACATTAACCATACCTGATGGTAACGATGATAGCTGTGGTGAGCACTGACCTGAAACGGCAGGAACTGCCATTGATTACGCTTCGGCCCAAGACTACTGCAATGGTTTCACTGGTCTGAGGAACTATGTGAGAAAGAACAAGAGCCTTTGGGGCAATCGTCAGTAGCAGTGCTGCCAGCCAACTGGGTCTGCTTTGCGTACTGCGACTTCTGATATTCCAGTGTTTTCGCGTACTGCCAATGTACTGCTGCATGCATTGCTTGTTTTTGACACTCATATGCTTGTCGGTGGCTGGAGTTGCTAGTGCAAAACATGTGGGACTTGTACCACAACATTATATTTTGTGCTACATGTAATAACAAGAGTACATAACCCCCCCAGAGTGTGCAACTCCCACATACCCTGTTGTCCCGACAGAATTTCAAGTTGACGTCATTATTTATGACGCAATGCTCCTTGCACCAGTGATTTACAACATGTGTACGGGTGTCAACGCATCACACGTTTTTCTTTGCAATAATTTGTACAGGATCGATCGGCTTCGGTCAACCACAGGTTCCGGATTCGTCTGATAATCCGTGTACAGTGCGCATTGCATCATCAAAATGACGTCAACTTGAAATTCTGTCGGGACAGCACCCATAGTGGCGTTGCACACTCTGGGGGGTTATGTACTCTTGGTAATAATGTAGTCGAAGCATGGCATGCACTCGCTTTGGCACAGGGATATACAACGCTCAGTTTGTGCTTGCCATGCTTCTACATACATATCTGTAGCCGATCAATCCTCTTCAATTTTCCGTACCATTTCGCTCAAATTCCGTACTGCGGATGAAGGAGTGATTGTCTGTACTTCGAAGTACAAATACGGAAAAAAATACGGAAGGTTGGCAGCACTGCAGTAGAAGACAGTGGATTGGCGTGTAATTAGAACCAGCTATGATCTATTTACATGGACAGAGACAAAAGGTGGTAGCCACAAAAGCTGATCTAGGAGGCGAATATTCTAGCGCAGAATGCACGCATGCATCTGTGTGTAGGTGTGTGTGTGTGGAGGGGGGGGGGGGGGGCACAATGTGACAGATCACCAGTGTAAATAGTTGCTAGGCGACACCATTCTAGCTGCTGATATTGGTACATAGCCACTAGTGCCAGACAACTAAACATGTGAAACAATAAAGGAAATGTGTATGTGAATGAGCCCTTCCATCTCGTGGGTCATGTTACCTACTGGCATGTACAGAGCTTGCACAAATTACTTGGCCCCACATCGATCGGTGAACTCTCAGGCTGTAATAACACCAGTGTGTTACACTGTCAGCATGAACATTACGGGTGATATAAGCTCTACATGTATAACCAACGCCAACCAACCCTTTTTGCACATAGCCAAGTATGCTAAAATTGCACTGTTGGTGCAATCTCTACTCCTCACCTCCCACTTTCCTTTCCTTCTTACATACTTGTACATTGTACACTTTGGTCGTTGTTACTTGGCATGTACATGTAGGTGAATTTTTCACTTGAGGTCTCTCCAAAGAAACTTGCTCCTAATGAAGCGGGTTGCAACTGACAAATGGCCGATTGGTATATGGTACATCAGCTTAGATCTGTAATCGGATGATGAGAGTATCCAATGAAGAGCGTGAATAGTGTCCTGAACCTGGGTAACCCTGAGAGTCCTATCCATGGCCTTAAGTTAGCTCTACCAGCGTGGACTAATACTACGTCTACTTTGGGTCACAGTTTGCAGCTATCATGCATGCCCATGACGGACGCCATGACATGGGTAACTGAAAGGACAAGCATGAGGATGACAACCCAAGGAAGGTACTCTATACTCTACATAGAACTAGGTCTCATTGTGTTACGGGAGAGAGAGAGAGAGAGAGAGAGAGAGAGAGAGAGAGAGAGAGAGAGAGGGGGGGGGGGGATACAATCAGTGCAAATACGACATACATGTGCATCAATTCCACCCACTCTCTCTCCCCAATTGCGACGATGAAATCAAAAAATCATAAAATTATTAAGAAGGCATTTCCCCCATTGTAAGTAAGACGTGAAAGTCACACAGTGCGCGGCTGACATGCAGGAACAGTTGACCGTACAGACAGCAGGAAACTCACCACGCGATGCCGAGAAGGACTTTGTCGATACTGAATCACCGATACCACCATCACCAGTCAGTGCCGTCTCTCTTTCATCTCCTGCGCACCGGGAAACGATTGAAATCAAACGCACGGCAGGGCTGACTGGGTGGTAGTTGGGATTGTACAGCCGTTAGCAATGTAGTGGTGTCGGGCTGCATAGCTAGCCCTGCAATGCTAGCCTTGTGTGACAGTATTGTGATACACAGGAACGCTGACAGTATTCAGGGACATGTCACGTACTCCAAAGAGGTATGATTTCATGAAAAATGTTGAGAGAAACTTGACTTTAATAGGGGCCAGCCAAGGTTACACTCCTTTTTTATACAAAAAGTTTTCATTGTGGTGGGGGGGGGGGGGGTTCGAAAATAAACCCAGTCAAATGGATAGTGCCAATTAAAATCAATATATTCCTGCAGGTAAAAGGACTTTGTCAAAGGGACTGGCAGTGGTACATTCAGATGGGGGTAAGAGCAGGGGCAGAAGCAGGGGCCGCCTGGGCTCCTCCTGTTGAAATCTACACCCTGGCTTACGACGGGAGCAGTGATGGTACAGTTGATACTCTTAGGAAAAAACAGTAATGCTATTCTAGTACTTTGTACTTGCACGCTACTTGTAACTTGTGTATCAACATGTTAGCTACTGCGGGAAAAAACGTTATGCACCATTGCTAGCTAATGTATGGTGACCAACAATTGCGACCTATATGTATCAAGTGCAGTGGCTTTCATTCAAGGTTCTCTAAAAGCCCCCCGGACCTCTCCCCTAAATCTGCTTACCGGTACACATATTGCATGGGCGTCGGAACTAGTGCGGCAAATGATTTAATCTTGTGATTTTTGAAGTAATAAAATATTATGGGATATTTATGATGAAGAAAGGAAAAGGACAAAATGTTACGAGTTATGACAAACTGTCCGCCAACGTAACCAGATCTTATACAGTCAGCGAGCGAGTTCAACTATGGGATATTTGGACCGGATTTCCCAAAACTTACCAGGGCAGGACCCCGGACCCCCACCTCTTCATGGCCAAACCAGTGTGGAATACCTTCTGACGCCCTTGATACCGTGACAGAATCCTACTCATCATCGTTCTAATAACTTATTGCATAATTATGATCAGTCACCACCACTGCACAAAGGCCGTTGACGCTGCAAATTTCTGCACTCACATCACCATCACCACAGCGAGGACAATTCCGGTAATTGTAATTGTAGTGTGAATTCTATCCCTGTTCGTGTGTTAGGGGTGGGAGGTGTAGTGAAGTCTAGTTTTAGCCAAGAATTTCAATAAATTTAAAAACTGACCTTCATCATGTTCTTCCTCCAGCGTGTGATACTGCGTGAGTTGCACTGCCATAGCGCCTACACCGTCATCTGGCGTTAGCAGTTACTGTGAGCATTGAGTAAGTACTACAATAACTATTAGTGTTAGCGTCAGCGGCTAAAGTGGCTCCCCAGAGAACCAACTGGGGGCTGGGGGGACTGGCCGTCAGCAGTAGTGGCAGTGCTCTTGCAGCCTGAGATGCGACGAGCGTCGAAGCTGTGACTGTCACTGATTGATCATAGAAGAAGAAAGCTCGTTTCAATACTATCAAGTATGAGCTTGTCCATGTTGACAGCGAGGAAAAATATTTTGTTGATTTATCGTTTCAGTTTTATTCTGCCGCATCTAAAACAAAGTTAAAATTTAATTACAAAGTACTTCGGGCACACGCTCGGATCTGGCAGCTTCACTTCACGGTCTTCATCCTCGAGTCAAGGCTTGATGAAAGGACTCGTGATGGATCCATGAACCGGAGTCTGTACTCCGTCTCGGAAACAACAGATCAGCCTCGCAGCGCAGGTGTGTGTGTGTCGAGTTTTTATTTTCTCTGTTCGGCTCAGCTTTGTTTGAATTTTTCTGCTGTCTTCCACGTGACGACCGGTAATGACAATCGTCATTATGTACGCATGACATGTCCGCCCAGTCACTCCGGTGCGACCCCCGAGTCAGATGAGGCCTGGCTGGAAGCAAGACTCCTCTGGACTGGATCGGAGTGGAGACTTGAGCTTGCTTGAAATTTTTGGGTCTGGTGTCTGTGTGCTTGTTTCCCTGTCGATCAAGGACGTCATCTGGACAGGTTGCATGCACACGCGGGACTAAACTAAAGCACTCTTGCAGTAGACTCTTTCCAGAGCACATGCCAGACCGGCTCAAGTGACGTGTATGGGGATCGGCTTCTCTGTCACTAGTGTGTGGCACTAATAATCATTCGTCTTCACATGTGTCGGTGTTGGTGAAGAAGCTGATCAGAGTGGTCTGACGGGGAAATCTGTTCCCCATTCTGGGGAAGATGACGAGTCGAGCGAAGCAATACCACTCGCTTGACGAGGACGCTGGTAGGTGCACGTCGATACATAAGTATTTTTCCTTCGTTTAGTGTGTAAACTGTAAGATCTAGGAATCCGATAATCGATAGTTTGTATTTTCACTCCATGGGATTTTCAAAATTATACTTCCCGTATACATGTGTGTGTGCGTGTGTTCTACTCCCGAAAAACCCTTTGTCATCCAGACACGGAAAGAGCACATTTCGCACTGTAGCACGGTATGCACTCTTATTCCGTAACTTGTTGTTCTTCTCTGATCGAGTCTCTCACGTGTGACATGCCAGCAGCACATCCACTTTTTAATTGTTGGTAAAAGCTGTAGGGTTTATATGAGCACACTAGACTCGGGCTTCCAAGAACACATGCAGCCTGAAAAAAAAATTAAAAAATTAGTAGCTGAAGCTAATGCATGCCCCATTCACCCTCACACATGATACAGGCCCCAGTACGAAATCACTTAGGTCCCCCAGAATTGATTCGTTGTCTCGGCTGCAATAGGGTCGCTCGGTCGGGCTATTGTCTTTCTTTCTAAGCGTGTGCGAGCACGTGTGGATGTAGGTGTGCCCATATAAGCGGTTCCTACATGTGCGGAGGCTGTTTCCTGGCGAATGTTACTGCTGATTGCGATCTATCATCACTATGTTTTTAAAACTGCACTGCATTCACGAGCGGTTCTGTTCTTACCGGCGTTGTTCTGTGCAGAGGCTGAGACATCTTTGCGCAGCGTGGACAACAGCAATGGACCGTTCGCTGCGCAGACAATGCGTGAAGAGAGTGAGTAATAACAATAATAATAATAATAGTTACAGTTCGCATGTCACTCATGGAAGGATCCATGGGCTTTAACGCATCTGTCAATGAAATCCGGGCAGAAGAGTGAGTAAACACGGGGGTTTCCGTTATGCAGAGGCTGAGCTACAGCTGCAGCTATTATAGTTCAGTGCTGCTCGATGAAATCCGATCGTGTGAGTCAAGTTTAGAGTCCTGCATCAGTACAGTGCCCAGTGTTCACAGTTCTGAGGCAGTACAGTGCCCAGTGTGACATTGACTCGCATAGTCTGATTGCATTGTGCAGCACTGTTGAATCCTTTCTCAGAAATGCCTGTGCTAAGGTACAGTCCACCTTGCGAATTACGATCCGTCATCGTGCACGAGAAAAGTGTCGTTATTCGCGAGTTGTCGTTCCAGGTATTCGTGAGCTTGGAAGTATGCAGGCAAATGGTGACTGGGGGCTAAAGATTGTGTTGTAATTTGTGAGTTGTCGTACCCGAGGTCGTTATTCACAAGGTTGACTATACACTGTTTGGACACACAACACATAGGATCTGCATTGTCCCTGATGCAGCGTTTTGGCCAGTGAAGTCCGAACGCTCGCTTGAGAGCTGCTTTGCGAGTTGCATCACCCGTGGGGTGTGAACTGAGCTCCGTTTCAGAGCTGCAGAGTGCCGGGGGCTGCTTGTCTTGGGGTGCAGAAATGGTGCCCCATGGTCACATGCCACTGGCCAACGCTGCAGTGCTCACTCTACATGTACTGTATTTAAAGTACTTCTGGAAGTTTAACGTTTTAAAAAAGTAATCGTGTCCGTTCCCAGACACCCCACCACTCTTTAAAAACTGGTTGAGATATAAAGACACCTCTCGAATAAAAGCCCCATTCTGAGTATTCTAATAGTTCAATGCTGGCAGCCCATATAATGATATATGGCATTGATCAGATTGAAAATACATGCCGGTATGCATAGGTTAATGAAATGATAAAGTCTTGAATAGTAGCCTCCTCAAAGTGGGCACTGAAAAACTTTAACCCATCCCAGTCTTTTAATCGGGTGAGTGCAGGTATGTCTTGTAGTTAATGGTCGTGAATAATAAACATGCGATGCGTTTGGTTGTCTATCTTGCAGAAACTAATCTTGTCAGCAGTGGCAAGCTAACAGCATCGGGCCGCCAGGATGGCTTCAATGACCCAAAGATTAGCGGCAAGGCCTGGGGCCGTGTCTATGTGAGTAGCAAGTGTAAGATAAGAGTGCATGATCCAGAGTTTACAACTCCAGAAGAAATGTTTGTAACTTTGTATACCATACAGGGAAGGTCAAATGAACTTTGAAAGCAAAATAAGACAGCATTTGCTGCCTGGTTCACATTGAGATGGAAACAATTATTTTCATCATCCATCTTGCGTAGTATGTGTGCCTGGTTATTTTATTTTGTGTGCATGGGGGTTTAGCTCAGTAGTAGAGCGCTCGCTTTGCATGCGAGAGGCCATGGGTTCGAACCCCATATCCTCCATTTTTTGTTTGGTTTTCATCCCGTTGTCACCATGTGAAAAACATCTTGTCGATATTTCCTACCAAGTTTAATTGTCTTTTATTGTCGTTCTCCGTTCTCATCTTTTTCTTGTTCAGAAATTCTTCTCAGGCATTCGAGAGTACCCAAAGTCGATCATGTTCATTGTGGGAAATGAATTCTGTGAACGGTTCACTTACTATGGACTGCGAGGTAGGTGTTGAAAAGTAGTCCAATAGATTCGTTGTCACGATGCTTGATAGCGGGTAAGCGGTATCCTTGGTGGTGCTGTTGGGATTAATCTTGACTCCACAACAACTGTGTTTGTTGTGGTGTTTTTGGAGGCAGATGCGCAGCGTGTTGTTACACCTGATCAGACCACCGGGTAATACCGATTAGGCTACAGTAACACAGGGTCCTTATAACAGTTACTTGAGTAGGAATTGTGTGTCTGGGTAGGAACTCAATGCTAAGCATATACTCACTGAATTCTACAAACAAGGCTCGTACATCCATTCACGCATGCCCCCTCCCCCTCTCTCTCTCCTTCAGACATGACACTTTTTTTGGAACTCTATTTTTCTGACATCTCTCTGAAGGCAATACTCCCCGAAAAGGATTGAGCACACACTGCATGTACATCCGCGAGGAAACTCGCGTCACAGAATACCACGGAACAAAGTGTCACGGTACAGGTCTTTCGGTGTTATGAAATTATGTAGCTAGGCTATCAACTATATCCGATTTCTCTCTATCTCTCTCTTTCTCTCTCTCTCTCTCTCTCTCTCTCTCTCTCTCTCTCTCTCTCTCTCTCTCTCTTTCTCTTTTCTTCTCCTGCACTCGTGTCTGCATGGCAGCTGTCCTAGTGCTGTATCTAACAGAGCACATGGGTTATGAAGACAACACGGCAACTGCTCTGTACCACGCATTCATCATGCTCTGCTACATGTCACCCGTTATCGGTGCCATGATTGCCGACGGCTGGCTGGGCAAGTATAAGTAAGTTACAGTTTAAAATATATAGCATGCAGCAGCTATAGGTACAGAGGAGATTTGATTACATCATGCATTGCATCATACATTGCATCATGCCTGCACATGACTGCCTTGTGCAGTAGACTACTGGATGACAGATGCCCAAATTTGGATGAAATCTGCTCAGGCTGAGTGATAGTTGTGCTGTACAGGTGCATATGTGAGGGTGTTCTGGTTGGCAAGAGTTGCCAACCAGCCAACCAGAATACCTGTGTATTTTTGTGGCGGATATAGCTGATCTTGGATGTAGTTTGTAGCCACCACAACAAAACTCTACACCCAAGGGTGTACAACCCCTGACTCTGGCACTGATGCGGCACGGTACTTGCTTTGCAGTTTACACTATACTTAACAATCGTAAATTTATGACTGCACCTATTACACCTGTTGTACTTATGCATTTGCCATGGGTGCAGGGGCTTTACGCAGCTCGGTACACGTACATGTATTATCCCAGAATTGAGCAAGAGGTGAGCAGCTCATCTGGCATTGTTCTTGCTGCTCTGTGCACTTGTTACTCGTATTCTTGCTAGGACAATCCTTGCTCTGTCCGTGGTATACGCTTTCGGCAACATTGTGCTAGCAGGCACATCAGCACCTCTAGGCAGTGAGACAGCTACAAAGTGAGTATCATACGTGTGTAACTCCACCACTCTCATCAGCCGTCTTTTCGTGAAGTGACTGTCGACCTTAGTAGCGTACATGTATTGTCAATTTCTCACCCACTGTATTTTCCGGTCTCAGAGCTGCACGGGGATACAAGCTGCGGCTAACTATGAAAGGTGGTGGTGCTTTCGTGTGCAAAATCGTGTTTGTACTCATTCCATGTTGGGTTTATAAAGTTAAATTTCGTATGGTTTCGCGGAGATTTATGTAAGTTTGCAAGCCCAGGTCACTCACTAGTGTATGTTTGTGCATGCATGTGTGCATGCGCGTCCGTGTATGCACACATGTTGGTTGATGGTCGTGTTGGTTTCTGTTGTAGAGTGGTTCCCTTGGCAGGGTTATTACTCATAGCATTCGGAACGGGCGGAATTAAACCATGCGTAGCAGCATTTGGTGGTGATCAATTCAGAGATGACCAGGTGGGTGCCGCATGGTTTTGTTATTAATTTTTGGAAATGGCAGAATTCAGGAAATGAATGATCATGCATGTACAGTAATTGGGTAATAGGAGTGACAACATCGCATATTATGCTTTGTTTCAAGTGGCAAATCAGTGCTTGTGATGTGACTCTATACACAGGAACTCGAATTATGACATACTCGCGTAACCTCTATGTTGCTTTGGAGATTAGCGATGAATGGTATAGTACATGTATAATAATTTGGTGGGTTGATGAGTGGATGAGCAAGTGTACTAGTGTTGCGACTGCTGTATGATCTAAGTTTTGATTTTTTTTGATCTGTTCTATTATGTGTAGGTACATTTGCTGCAGCGTTACTTCTCGATATTCTATTTCTCTATCAACGCTGGCAGCGTGTTGTCCACCTTCTTGTCTCCATATCTTAGAGGTCAGTGTGAATGTCCAGTGTATCAACTGTCTCGATCAGTCTCAGGCAGTGTTACTCGCTTAAAGCCTGTTGTGGAATAGTGTCATCTGCTATGTTCTTGGAGTACAGTGCAGACAGTGGGTTGGGTGGTTCTATTCGTTGATTGCCATAGAGAACACAATGACCTGATTCTCGGTGAGTTCTCTCCTTGTTTTCCTTGTTTTCCTTTCTCGCAGCGAACACCAGCTGCTTTGATGCTGACTGCTACATGTATGCGTTTGGCTTGCCAGCCATTCTGATGATCATCGCCATTGGTAAGTGGACCGACTGCCACTGGCGTGTTTGCATGAAAAGGAACATAATGCTACTAGCATGATTGCGTTGAGTTGTCTTGTATGGAATCTGACTACTGGCCGTGGGCTTTGTTGTTATTGTTGTGGCATGCAATGCATGTGTATTGAATGCACCAGCACCACTTTTAGGAGCATCGATTTCTAGGAGCATGCTGCTTAGCATGCAGTGTGCTGCGGGGATGGTTCTGCCCTTGATAAACACCTTTCGCCGTTGTTTTCGTTGATGTTGTCGTTAATGCTCTTGTTCTGCTTAGGCATCTTCATGGCTGGCAATCGCTTCTACGTGAAGAGAGAACCGGCTGGCAATGTGATTGCGCAGGTAGCCAAAGCCATTGCGGTGAGTGGACAATTGACATCTGTCCGTCTATACAACACTGTGTGGCCGTGGGTGCACGGGTGCTAGTGCAAGTGCTTACTAAACATGTACATGTACAGCTGTACTTCAAAATATAGAATGCAGAGTGGGACTAAGCAATCCTGTGTCTACCGGTACATTGATTCTTTGTCACTTGTTAGAACATTCCGCTTCTTCATATACGTAGATACGAGGCGAAGGCTTCTAATGTCTCTCTATTCTGACTGGTGTTCTCTCTCTCTCTCTCTCTCTCTCTCTCTCTCTCTCTCTCTCTCTCTCTCTCTCTCTCTCTCTCTCTCTCTCTCTCTCTCTCTCTCTCTCTCTCTCTCTCTGTTATAGTGCACAAACTGTGAATTTGCCGTTGATATGTATGTTGTTTGTTCTTGGTTGTTGTGGTGTAGCTTGGTGTACGTGGAAGCTTTGCTAATCGTAACAACCTTGAGAAGAAAGAGCACTGGCTATACTGGGCAGAGACCCGATATGAGGTATGGCCGCATAGATCTACTTCAAACTATTTATTTTTCAAGAAGTGACGAATTGAAAAGAATCAAATGTAGAGTAAAGAAAATGTATTGTTGAACTAGCTAGTCTATCAAGCCGTTCTCTCACCTAAGCATGTGTGTACTGACATTTGTAGGACTGCTAGTAAGCTAGTCTGCAGGATTGGCTAAGGTGTGAGAAGTGAGATTTAGTGAATCCCAGTGGTGATGCACACTAGCTTGCAGACCTCATCAAGACTGGCATTGCTTGTTGTTGTCCAGCATGGTACAGTGTACTCCGGTGTTGATAGCTGGTGAATAATGAGCCATGTGTGGATACAATAGGGCTTGAACGTGCTACGTCACAGCATAGCAACAATTTCAAAAATTCAAAAACTGGATCCACTTGGATCCAGTTTTTGTATGGATCCAAGCACATTTCAAGCGGTCTTACCCACAGCATGGTGATGTAGCCAGTGAAACTGACTGATTTGGCTACTGGTGGCGAAATAAAAGTCACACCTGCATGCGACATGAGTGGGTTGCTATGCACCCACATACTTAGGCAATAGCAAAGTCACACCTTAGTGGATCCAAAAATAGAAATCTGATGTCAACTTACTACTCCCTGGCCGTTTTGACGTCATCACTTTCAAGCCCTATAGGGCCAACGTTATTGAGTTGGGTGTATTTTCACTTTTCAGAAGGCTAGTCACTCAGCTCAGCAGAAACAATTGAAGAATGTTACTATTTAGTATTTAATACCAGCAACCATGGAGATAGATGTGGAGCAACGGCATTGGAAGAAAAATGAGAACTGCTTTTGAGGATCATGGAAGCACCAGCAAGCCGGTGTTAAATCCGTTATGTCGGACATAATAATACAGCGTTCCAATCCAGAAAGAGACTACTCTCACGAAGAAAGGATAGTCTTTGTCTTACTCACTCTCCATCAGGGGTTCTTTGGCAACCAATAGAAACGACCAGCCTTGCGGGACAGGGTTTTGTCACCATTTAACCGGTTTCCATGGTTATCCAAGGTGTTGACCTTCATGGACAAGGTATATTCTACTTGACAGGAGCTGAATGGTGCGTATGTTTGTTGTCTATCTGTGTGTGTGTGTAGCGCTCCTTTCTGGATGGCGTCCGTGATGTTCTGCGAGTCATTGTTCTGCTGATACCGGTGCCGATCTTCTGGACGTTGTTTGATCAAACGGTAAAAAGACACACGCACACGTGCACACACACACACACACACACACACACACACATGCACACGCGTGTAAGCACAAACTCACACCCATACGCTTGTTCTTGTACTTGCTCACTGCCAGGAGCTGATCACGTGGGTTTCTCCAGGAGAGGGGAGGGCGATTTGAAAGAAATCTAGGAAAGTCTGCTCAACTGGCTATTGAACTGCCCTACAGCCTATGCCCCTTGTCATCCCAATGGTGGACTTGGAAATTATCCCAATTATGAAGTCGCCACACCACAGTATAAAGACAAGGTGCAGAAAAGGATGGACGGCATAAGGGTATCTAGGTGGTAGCCAATGAAATCTGGACTTGAGAATAGAGCAGCAGTGTCAAGCAACGTGCAACCTTGTATGCATGCACTATAGCTGCGCATCAGATTGTGACCCTAACCCATCCAACCCTTGCTGCAATCCTCCCAACCCTGTACATTACGCTACAATTCTATAGAGGTTGTGTGATTACATCATCACTCACGCTGCTGTGTATAGAGTGACATCACAATGCACAAGCACTGATTGGCCACTCAATATAAAACATGATGGTCACTGGTGTCATTCGATAGACCTCTGTGTTGTACTGCAGAATACCAATCAACGGCTGGCACCAGTGCGCATATCGTCACAGCATAGCGCACAGTCATTGTGTTTGTGTGCTGTATCCTTCACTATACTATAATGTGGCTTTCTTTGTGGCACGTGTTTACTCTGATATTGTCCAACTGTGTGTTGCTGCTGCTGTGCTCAGGGTTCTCGCTGGACTCTGCAGGCCAAACGAATGAACGGCAAGCTGGTGAGTTCATCTTGCAGTTGGGTGTGATGGTGGTCATTTGGCATGCATGTATAACTCACCAAACATCCCGTTGGGGTTATTGCGTGCACTGGATATTATTTAGGTGTTAGCAATGAAACGCCTTTTAGCAAAATTTGAGTTAGGCCCACTACGTAACGTTTACTGCATGCGTTGTAGTTATAAGTGCTGTTCTGTTGAAATTGGAAAGTTTTTTTTCGGATCGCTTTTCAGATAATGTTGGATAGATCAGACAATTTGGCAGCAATGCGTATTCCGTGTCTTTGTGGGTGGGTGCCTGTCTGCGCCTGTGCCCGTATGTGTCCATGTGTGTGCGTGTGTGGGCGTGTGTGTGCGTGCGCGCGCGCGTGTGTGTACAGGGTAGTGCTGTCATTGAGCCAGATCAGATGCAGGTGAGTCCTACTGTACTTCAAGTAGAAACCAAACACATGTGCCTGTGCGGCTCTCGTTAGCAGCAGAAGAAAGCGCACGGCTGCTGAATCCACTTCATGTTGCTGAAGACGTGTATTGTGCTGTGCTTTGCTCAACTTAGAAGAGGAGTTAGAATAGACATAATAATGTGGCTGCTGGTCCTGAGCTGCTGAATCTGCTCAATTCTGTTTCTCCGCTTTTTGAACCCGTGTCTGCAATCTGCATGCAACTTTAGTTTCTGACCCTAGCACAATGACATTGTAGGCCACTGTGCGCATTGTCGTCAACCTGTGTGTGTGTGTGTGTGTGTGTGTATGTGTGTGTGTGTGTGTGTGTGTGTGTGTGTGTGTGTGTGTGTGTTTGTTTGCTGTTTCTGCTGTTGGCCACGGTGGATAGGTTGCTAATTCTATTCTCATCCTGGTGTTTATCCCGCTGTTCGAGTCCGTCGTTTACCCGGCGCTGCGCTTCTGTCGCCTGCCAATGCGGTAAGTGGCTGTTGTCCCCTTTCCTTTCCACCGACTCAGTGGATCGTCCGACGTCGGCTTGTAGCACTGCGTTTCGTGAAACTTCCCGAACTTCCTATGAGCTTGTCTGATCTGGTTATCGTATCCGATTATCGTATTCCATTCAACCTTGTGGAACCATGTACACCAGTGAATAGTGTAGTAGTGATCACAGCATGGTCATGTCCTCTCCTTCCATTATTCTTGTGTACAGGCCGCTGCAGAGAATGTCAACGGGAATGATATTCGCTGCGCTGTCTTTCGTCGTGGCTGCTTTTGTGCAAATTCGACTGGAGGTGAGCTACAAGTGTAGTGATGTACATTGCGATGACATCATGTCACAAGGCGGAGGACACATTGCGTGGAAAACAGTGTTCCTTACTGCAACCATTAACCGGTTGGTAGAATGTCGGTCTTGCGACCATATGAACCATATGGGGCTGTGCCTCGGTTCAGACCCTCTTTATTCTATTCAGCGGGGGGGGGGGGGGGGGGGGGGGGGGGCATAGGAAATTCCCTGATCCTCTTGTGAGTTGAAATCTGGTTTATGGTTGCAGTTTATGGTTGCAGTCAGGAACACTGTTTTCCATAGTGTAGTGATCTGCTATAGTGGAGTACATATGTACTGATGTCACCGTGATAGAAGATATCCTCCTATTGATGCATGTGCTATGGCTCTGTGATAGGTACCGTTGTGAGTCTTGTGACAGCTTTATGATGATAGTATATGTGTTACTGTATGTCTCGCTGCTAGGATGCCACCGACGCCTTCCCAGCGAGCACGGTATCTCGCTTCCGCGTGATCAACGCTCTGCCATCTGGCATGGACGTAACAATCACCAACCTGGAAGGAAATGCAGCCTTCAACGAGAGTGTGCTTTATGGCCAGGTGAGCATGTGTGATCTGCGGCCAGCTCGGTTTCAGCATGAAATATTATCAGCCTGCAGACCTCAACTGAAACAAGTAGAGTGTCTGTACAGTCCAGCATTGTTCAGTGTGCAGTCCTGGTATCAAATTGACCACCGCTCTGTATTCTCCTTTTCAAAGGTGGGATGAGGTCTTTGAAACCTCTGCTCATCTCTGTAGATTTTTACTTTCTACACCAGCCTGTGAACAAAGTTGGCTCAGCTTGGTAGAAAGGCAGCGGAAGTCATTCGTATGCAGCTGAATGGTGTCGATGTGCTATGTGCTTTACGGCCTCCTTTGTGAGCACAGAGTCTATTGCTGCTGCTGTAGTATCCATCTGCTGCTTCTTTCCGGTGGGGCTGTGGTACTGGTAGTTTATGTAGAGATAAACGTGATGTGCTATGCCGCTATCATGCAGCCATGTGACTAATAGCTGCACTGACAGGCAGGATTGTGAGCCATGGCATGCATGAATTTATGACCAGTGGTGGCTCATGACGAATTCTCACTATAATCACAGGGGCGTAGCAGCCGCTCCGGCCGGTCCGGCTTGGCCGGACCACTTTTTCGCCCGACCACGACCACCATAGTAAAACAATGCCAAAAGTGCAGAGAATGCAGGATTTTGCACCCTAATTTCAAAAAAATCCGCGGGGAGATCCCCCCCCCCCCTGGCCGGACCACTGCCAACGGCGGTGCTACGCGCCTGAATCAACCAGCCATAATACATGGCATGACTTGTTAGCATCAGATCAAGGGATAGCCTCTGCGTGAAATGAACATGCTGTGAACTGCAGTGTTTTAGCTAGGGGTGAAAGGGGTGATCCGGGTAACCCGGGTACCCGTCTGTTTAGCTGCTGATCCGTTAGCAAACGAGTAGCCGATAGTCTTGAAGGATTGTAGGGTACAGTGTTAGAAGTTTGCTTGTACAGTTGTACAGTTCAGTGCACAGTTTTGAGTGTGTTTTTCCTCGTTCAATCGTGCTACATATCACGGTATCCATTGTAGCTACGACAATTTCGACTGTTAGCATGTAGCGCAGTGACTGTGCACACTGTGCTTGTCGCGGTGTAGTGTACTTGTATGACTTCGCATATCCTCCCGGCGTGAAATCCGGAAGGCTGCTGTAGCAATCGTTGCCCGAAAATCGCTCTCCTATCAGAATGCCTGCAAAAGACATGTTGTGCTTACGATCCCAAGCAAATGCAATGTTTTTGGAAAAAGTATGGCAGATAAAGGGTACCCGATAACCCGCCCGTTAAGCCAGATACCCGTTTGTTACCTTAAAGGGTAACCGTTTCACCCCTAGTTTTAGCACAACTTGTAGTAAGTCTTGGTATGCCGGGCACTTTCTCAACTTACAGCTATGAGCAGTAGTGTACGGCTAATTGTGAACTTGTGAGTCCTCATTTGAAGGTGTGTTTGCTTCCACGGACACAGTGTTTATCGTATCATTCTTTCCTTCTTTCTCCTGCATGAAGGCTACATCGTTCGGTAACTTTAACCCGGGCAGCTACGATGTCACCGCCCGTGCCGTGATTGGTGAAGCACAGTTCACCGCCACGCAGAGATTTAACTTCACCGGCCGTACGGTGAATAGTATTGTAGTCGGCCTGAACGGATCTGCTCTCACCTTGTTCCAGGTATGCGTGTGTCTCTCAGAGTGCTAATGAGTGGGGAAAACTAGTGATGATGTTAGCACATGAACTCCCCATATCTGGACTCCCTAGATCCAGGCATTCCCGTTTTCCGACCCCTCTAAGTCATGAAAAATGGATCAGCGAAACACGACACTAGAAAATGTTTTTGTTGATACTCGTATCGATTGGTAAAAAGGTGTCTGGATGTACACTACTGGCATGCACACCGTGTGTAATTGTGTGTTGCGGGCAATTCCTATTTCCAGGCAGTGCCCGG